AAAGATTCTCTGTGACTAGATTTTTTAACACTTTTCTTTTGTCTCCACAGGAAAGTTTAGCGAATCCTGTCCATCGGAAACTGTGTACGAGTACAACATGACCTCTTGTGGTCGAACGTGCCATTCCCTGAGCCAGCTGGATTACTCGTGCCAGATCAGCTTCAACGCGGTCGACGGCTGTGGCTGTGCCGAGGGAACCTACATGAATGAGGATGGCCAGTGTGTGTCCAGTGAAAGCTGTCCCTGCTACGATAAAGACGTCATTATCCCTGCTGGACAAGCCATCTTCAAAGAGGGTGCAACATGGTAATTACTACTGGGAGCAAGGCATGGACAGGTTTAGCTCACATGTTCTAAGAATGCTTGGTAACCTTTGAGACTCTGGAGACATCAGAGGATGTCAGAAAGGTGAAGAAATATGACGTTTTTTCCATTTCACAAAAGCGGTGCCGCTTATATGAAATATTCCTGACATCACCTCTGCTGAGAGGTTCTCCGTACTAAATTAAACAGAACCGTAAGATGGATTGGTGATGAGATCACACACAACAAAGTGCTAGGCTTTTAGATTTTTAGTTACCTTGGTTCAACAAGAGAAACCCTTCAGATTTATTTATTTTCTCTGTCAATTTGGGTTCGTTTGACATCTTTACTTTTTTAAATGTTGTAAAGCCATTTAAGAGTAGGGCTGTCGCGGTAACCGCAAAAATGAAATATCGCAATATGAAGAAGCCCACCGCGCTGCATCATGGGCCACCGCGATTACTGAACTTGGTTCAACTCAGTGATGCATGTTGAGAAGGATGGCTGCACTGGTATCAAAACGAAACGTTACTTCGCTCCTTTGGGAGCACTTTGGTTTTCAGTACGTCAGCTGCTGCGCAGCCAGAGTCCTTGGCCGAGACAGAGCTGCCACCAGCGGCAAAATAAATAAATAAATAAATAAATAAACGCTCGGAGACCTGCTGAAGTCCCGGACAAGCACTGCTTCTGCAACTGTCCCGAAGAGAGTTTGAGCTGAGCTGGAGCTCACTCGCTACCTGCAGGAGGAATGTATCCACCCTAAAGAAACCCCCCTGACATGGTGGAGCAACAACCGGGAGAGATTCCCTTTGCTCGCCAGTCGTACGCAAGTACGTGTGCGTTAGTGCAACGAGCGCACCATCCGAGAGGGTTTTCAGTGTTGCTGGAAATGTTGCCCCCCCTCTCAGATCCTCTCTCAAACCGTATATGGTTAACATGCTGGTTTTCCTTGTGGGTAACACGGACGTGACCAAGCTATAAATCACCGTCATTCGTGTGTGTGAAAGTGAAATGATAGTGTGCCCGCTCCCCGGCGCGCGCGCGCCCGGTACATGTAATTTTTTATGCTTGATTTTGAACAACTAAACAAAATTGGGACTTGTTTCTTATTTGTTAGATGCTGCAGCCAAATTTGCATTTAAAAGTTTAACCTTCTCCTGAATTTTGTTGTTTTTAAGTTCAGTCGGACTCCGACTGTCGGAGAAACAAACGTTACTGCGATCTGTGTTGTTACTGCCCTTTGATCTGCATTCAGTAAAGTGTTATTAAAGAAGGCACGGCAATTTTTTACTTTTTTGAATGTGTAAACATTATGTTTAGATAGTACTGCAATAAAAAAAAGTGCTGCAATAATATCGCACACCGCAATATTAAGCCACCCTGAATCACCGCAGGGGGAATTCCTCAACCGCGACAGCCCTATTTAAGAGTCCAAATCATTAAAAGATATTGTTCAACCGTTCTGTTCTTCTGTTTCCTGAAACCTTCCACAGTGTCTGCAGACATGGAGTTCTCAGCTGTTCCGGAGGAAGCCAGCCACAGCGTAAGTCTTCTTCTGACGTGTGTCTCTGTGTAGATGTTGGAAACAATTCTGATGGAACCAAGATGACATCCTAACCCACCTCTGTTCACAGCTACAGCATTTATGAATCACATTCGAATGATGTCTCGTTTATTTGCTTTTCCAGCCTCATCGTGTGTTGCCCCAATGGTTTATTTCGACTGCTCCGTTGCTCAGCCTGGTGCCTCTGGGACCGAGTGCCAAAAGAGCTGCAGCACAGTGGACATGGGTTGTGTAAGTCCTCCAAGATAAATGTCATCACTTCGGTCAAAACTCTTAATGCAAAACTTCCTTCTCTTCCCTTGATTATAGATCAGCACAGGTTGCACATCTGGCTGCATCTGCCCTCATGGCTTGCTATCAGATGGAGCAGGTGGCTGCATAAATGAGACAAGCTGCCCATGTGTATACAATGGACAGGTATACCAGCCAGGACAGACTCTGACAGTGGACTGCAACACATGGTTTGTACACACACTTCCAAAACAGCAACAGAAATGATTACACACCTTGGAAGCAGGTTGAGTTGTCTAGAACATTTACAGAAGCACATGTTGCCAAACGCTTCGGCTCGCTCTACTAAATCAGGGCATTCAGGTGTTCCAATAAAGATGGGCTGACCACAGGCCTACACTGGGAGAATTGCCAAAAACTAGTCAAAGCTATTGATCTACTCATCCATCTTCACTCCCTCTGTGGTAGTGAGGTTTGAATCAGGACCAAAAGAGTGGGATTCCAGGTCTCCTCCCTGTAGAGCTGGGCTCATCATCTCCACTACTTTTGGTGAGAAGGTGATTAAATCAGGTGCACTGGAGCCCCAGCTGGAGAGGTTCCTCACCAGAAGGATACCTCAGGCCAGAACCAGAACTCACTGGGAGGATCAAGCAGACCCCCCCCCCCCCCCCCCCCCCCCCCCCGGCAATACCAGTAGAAGAGCTGATGAGTTTGGGTTAGCCTACCAGCAGAGTTCAAGTTCCACGGTAAATGGCCTGAGATGGGTCTGAAGGTGCTATGGAGATAAGGATCAACATTGGGTTTTTTACAGGGTATCCGCGGGTCCTTAAAACGTCTTAAAAAGTCTTAAATCCGCTTTTCCAAATTTATGGCCTTAAAAATCCTTAAAAATGACAAATAATCCTTTAATACAGTTTCCAGAGGTCTTAAATTACCAAAGACCCAATAAACAAGATTCTTTTATTTCTATAAAATTTTCGTGAATTTCTAGTTAGTGTTCAGCATTTTTTTCATATGATAATGGCGTAAGCGGGACCGTACACATTCAGTTGGTTGTGAAAGGGGGCTATTTTTAGATTAGCACATTAGCTGGTTAAGCTAGTGGGAGCTTGCGCCATGGGGAAGTGCAAATTTAATCGTAACTGGATGGCTAATCCCACGATAGCGGCGTGGTTAGCACCGGTTCCAGTCAATAGCTGGAAATTATAGCTTAAATTTCATTTTTAAAAATGATAAATGATCCGCACTTGCATAGCGCCTGTCAGAATAAGGACTCCAAAGCGCTTTACACTACAGTGTATCATTGATCCATTCACACACAGACATTCACACACTGGTGGTGATGAGCTACGATGTAGCCACAGCTGCCCTGGGGCACACTGACAGAGGTGAGGCTGCCGACCATCACCAGTAGAAGGCAAGGTGGGTTAAGTGTCTTGCCCAAGGACACAACAGCAGAATTCTCTGTCCGGAGCCGGGATTGAACCTGCAACCTTCTGATTACTGGACTACCCACTCAACCTGTTGAGCTGCTGCTGCCCTGCTTTAATAGCTTAAATTTGGTCAAAGTGGCCTTAAAAAAGGTCTTAAAAAGTCTTAAATTTGGCTCCCTTAAACCTGCAGATACCCTGTTTTAAGAAGCGGATGGATTACAGCATTCTTAAAGTTAGCAGGGACCTGACCAGAAACAAGAGGATCATTAATTAAAGAGAGCACGCTGGGACCGATGGGCTGAAAAGCACTTTTAATTAAACGAAGAGGGCACGATGGTGAGGAGGCATGCAGACGTCTTCATAGTTAACTAGTTTGGTTAGCTCAGGGTTAGGGTTAGGAAACAGCAGCTAAACTATCTAGAATGACGGGCCGGGTTGGAGTCAGAACCGGCAGAGATGAGGCTGTAGGAGAGATGCTAGGTCTGACCTCAATGACTTGGTTCTCAAAGAAAGACAGGATGGTTTTACAGTCTCCATCAGAGTGAATGGGGGCTGTCGGTGAAGCAGCAGAGACGATACTGCAGATGGTGCTAGACAACACTTTAGGATTCCCTTTGCTCAGCACACCAAGGTGGAAAAATGGAAAAAGTAGGACATGCATGGTGGCCAAGCAAATGCATGACATCACATCAGATCTGGTACTCGCCATCTCTTCACTTGTCTTCTTGAATGTCACCTTGATGGTTTTTGTTGTAAATTGGTGTTGATGGAGTTCAGCGGTTTTTAAACATGGTCAGATCACCTGACTGACCCGCAGATGTTTGTGTATGTCTTCAGCTCCTGCAGTGGAAGGACGTTCACATGCACCAACAACGTGTGTGATGGAGTCTGTGGAATCTATGGCGATGGGCATTACATTACATTTGATGATAAAAGGTTTGACTTCAACGGACAGTGTGAATACACGCTTCTCCAGGTACAACCACTAATCCGCTAACGTCCATGTTTTCAGGTTAATCATTATAGTCGAACTGTTGCTAGCTAGAGCTGTAGCAGCCTTCTCTGCTCAGCCACATTCTCAGAACTACATGTGATAAACAAGTCGGTCGTGTTTGTCGATGAGCCTTAACTTGAGCTGTTGCTCACACCGCAGAGGAAGCACCAGACTCTAAACACTTGCTAATCACATCTAGGATGCCACACAAGCAGTCACTCTTCTGACCGACTGTGTTAGGGTTAGGGTTGGGTTAAAGGCAACGTGGGAATTGTAATCTGCTGTGTTCACATTTAGGACCACTGTGGCACTAATCAGGACAACGGAAGCTTCAGGATTATCACCGAGAATGTTCCCTGTGGAACTACAGGAACCACCTGTTCCAAGACCATCAAGGTCTTCTTGGAGGTACAGGAGAACACACAAAGCTGACACGCACCAACTGGGATTGTATAATAATGTGTTTGTGTGTTTGGATAAAGCAATAGTGAATATTATCTATAAATTCTCCCCAGCCACTTTATTAGGTACACTTTACTAGTACCTGGATAGACACCCTTTTACCCTAGTAGCATGTATTTGTTTGTGTGTGTGTGTGTGTGTGTGTGTGTGTGTGTGTGTGTGTGTGTGTGTGTGTGTGTGTGTGTGTGTGTGTGCTTTATTAAGATGTTTGCACAAGTGATCTAATATGGTCTCTCTTCCTCTTGGGAATGGCGCAGCAGTTCTTCCGTTGGAGCTAACAGTTTCCACTAAATTCTTGTGTTGATTTTTAGGACAGTGAATTCCAGCTGAAGGATGAGAACTTTGAGGTGATCAAAGGAAACATCCAGGTGCTCGGTGTTCAAGTACAGAAAATGGGTGTTTATCTGGCAGTGACCATAAAAGCGGGTCTCATCCTCGTGTGGGACCAGAAGACCAGCCTTTTCATTTCTCTCAGCCCAGAATTCCAGGTAAAACAACAAGTCTGGCCACTCTCTTCATCACCTAGCTGCTTACATACAGCGGTGCTAAAAGTGTTTGGCGGGAACCGAGTTGTCCCTCTTGAAAAGATCGCAGGCGCACATTGTGTGATTTTAAAAGAATGTATTTGTTCAATGGTGCAGGATTTGAGTGAGCCCAAACACCCCCCCTGAGTCATTAAAAATAACTTCAGCGTAAAGAACCAGGAGTCCTGGACGTGATGGTCTGGCCCCCACAGAGCCCTGATCTCAACATCATGGAGTGTGTCTGGGATCCCAAAGCCTACATCCACAGAAGATCTGTTGTTAGTTCTCCAAGATGTCTGGAACAACCTACCAGCCCAGGTCCTTCGACAGCCGTGTTCAAGTGTAGCTAGAAGAACTGATGCCGTTTTAGAGGCAGAGGGTGCTCACTCCAAATATTCATTTCATTTAGATTTCCCTTTAGTTCACATCAGTTTAGTTCACTGCTTTTTGTTGTTATATGAAAATAAACGACTAACACTTCCTATTTTGAAAGTACGCCGTTTACAGCATTTTTTCCAAACCCATCGAAGCCTTTTGCACAGCACTGTACCATGTGATTTCCTGGATTTGTTGTACTCTGTCTCTCACTTGAAGACCACCTGTGGTAAAAATGACAGATCTCTCTTATCTTTTTACGTGGAACAACATGCACAATCAATGGCTGCCAAACTGTTTCCTCGTTGAAGCTGGTTTATGTGTTTCCATTGATAATACGCTGACTTACTGAATGGAAAAGGCCTAAAATAATGAACAGGGGACTCTTTTTGGTTGTTGTTCTTCCATCAGGATCAAGTCTGTGGTCTCTGTGGTAACTATGATGGCAACAGCAAGAACGATTTCACAACACGCTCCCAGGAGACGGTGACCGATGTTTTACAGTTCGGTAACTCTTGGAAAGTGTCACCCGTCTGCCCTGATGCCCAGCTCGTTAGTGATCCCTGTTCCTCCAACCGCTATCGAGCAGCCTGGTCTCAGAAACAGTGCAGCATCATCACCAGCTCCATCTTCAGTAGCTGCCATACAAAGGTAACCAGTGTTGGGAGTAACGCAGTACAAAAGTAATTAATTACTGTAATGCATTGCTTTTTGCTGTAATGTGGAAATGTAAGGCATTACAGGGAAAGAAAATGGTAATATTTACTCGGTATAATTGTCAATAATGCGGTAATTACAACGCATGTTTAAACCCAGAATCAAGATGTGGGTTTCCTAAAAATTCAAATTGTGGGAAGCCTGAAAAAAGATCCAGTATCCACATATATGACGTCATTTATGGACTCAGCTTTGCGGGCATTCTATGAGCAGAGAGGACGCCGCGGTAACGGCTCAAATCCTCCAGCTGCGTCCTGCGCGCGCGCGGCCGCTGTTATATTCACAAAACCGCTCCACCAAAACAAAGTCATTAGTTTGCAATCGTTTATATCAGCCCATATTCTCTGGTACTTCATGTACTTTTCAGCTGAGTTCATAATCTGTGCCCCGGTGATTTCAACTCATTGCTGCTGGAGCGCAGCGCATATGAAGCTTATTTTTATGTTTTTGCGTTCGGTAGATCCCTTTGGCTGATAGTTAGAAAGTAGGAAATCTAGGAAACAGTTTTTCTGGAAGACGGAGAAAACATGCAGCATGGAGGAAGGTTAGAGAGAGAAAGGGCTGGAAATTATTCAACTAAAATCAAGAAAACAAAACAAAGTGCTTGAAAAGAAAAAAAGTAGGTAGATTTATCCCCAATACTCATTTTTACCAGTGAAAAGCAACAATATATAAGCATTTAATATTCATACATGTGATAGAATCAGATCACCCCAGAAGTCAGTCCCACATCCAGGGCCGTATCAAGGCATTTGGGGACCAAGGGAAATATAGGCTTGGAGCCCCCACCACCTCACTCCCTGCTCAGTTAATATAAGATGGCAGCGTGCCGAGAGTACAGATTGTTGTTGCTTTTATTTAATAAACAATCATTTTAAAGCGCCGTTATTATATCTGACTGTTTTTAACAGCAACCCTAGCTCAGACACCACATCACCTTCCACATATATGTCATGAGCTCACTGAGCATCACATGACCAGATTCATACTGAAGTTGTTTTGGTGAAAGTAACTTAAAGTAATGCAAAAGTAGTGTAGTGCCTTACATTTTAAAATCAGTAATATTGTAATGTAATGAATTACTTTCAAATGAGGGTAACAAGTAATAAATAATGCATTACAGTTCTGAAGTAACTTGCCCAACACTGAAGGTAACCACTACACACATGAAACACACAATCTCCTTTAACAGTCCTGTAATCTATGAACTCGGTTTGTGGGGTTCATGAGACGTTCGGGAGAAATCCTGTTTCACGGTCTTCGGGAGGCTGAGGCACCATCAGCTTACTCCATCTATGCAAACAGATGCAACACGTTTCTGCTTTGTTTAAAAGCATCAACGAGCTAGTTATAACACCATTTATTTCATTAGACTGACCTTTTATTTCACCTCAGTACATACCGCACCAGCCTAACAGGCCATGATGGTAACACAGCTGTTTTCTATCCAAGGTGGACCCTGGCCCGTACTTTGACTCCTGCGTGAGGGACTCTTGTGCGTGTGACACAGGAGGAGACTGCGAGTGTTTTTGCACGGCTGTGGCCGCCTATGCCAAGGCTTGCAGTGCAGTCGGAGCCTGTGTTAGCTGGAGGACTCCAAAGCTGTGCCGTAAGTTTGACCCTGGTTGTGATGCAGATAGCGGAGGGAGGGTGAGCTTCCGTGTTTGAGGATTAAAGGAAACAGTTACTCAAAAATAAAATCAGGAACAGTGTTTGTTTCACTAACTACTAGAACTGAAACAAATACCGCAATTTTTAATTTGAGCATCGTTTGGTTCGTTGGTTCAATTAAATGCGTTCGCTAAATGTTTTTTTATAAAAATGTTGTAATGCTGTTTTGCATCTTCATCTCCAGATCACATGAGAACATTTCAGAAAGCTTAAACTGTACTAGGGATGTGTATTTTTGAAATTCTGGCGATACGATACATATCACGATACAGGGGAGATGATACGATATATCACGATATATTGCGATACATTCAGTCAGACGTTACAAGCAATTTTTTTTTACTGAATTTATTGTAAGAATGTTCAATAAACAGTCCAAACTGATGCATAACATGTTTAACATGAGCTATCTGAACCATGATGGAGGGATTTACATTTCAGTGGTGGAAACAAAACCTGTTGCACACTGCTGCCAACTAGCGGGTGGCGATTGAATTGCGCAAAACGAAAAGAAAATACACAAAAGTTTGCATGTAAATTCTTTCAGGAATTAGATACACGGCTTTTGAATATCGATGTAATAATCGCAGGAAAAAATATCACGATATATTGCCATATCGATTTTTCCGATGCACTGCTTTTGAATATCGATATAATATTGCTGGGGAAAATATCACAATATATTGCCATATCGATATTTTCTTACATCCCTTAACTGTACACTTGATTATGATTTATAAAAGCCAATTCCTCATTTTTATGTGTGTCAGCAATCTTCTGTGACTACTACAACTCGCCTGGAGGCTGTGAATGGCACTACAAGCCATGTGGAGCAGACTGCATGAAGACATGTAGGAACCCATCAGGAAACTGTTCCAAACTCATCACTAAAGTGGAAGGTAAATGTTTTTATTTACACTTGAAATGACAAAACAAGAGTTGAACGGACAAGTTTTTTTTTCAGGATGAACCAGGAGACTGGTCTGGTTTGGGGTTTTGTTCTTAACTTTCTGCAAAACCGTATCAATCTAAACTTTAAAAACCCGTAATAAATAAATATTAGTTAAAAAACACAGATGTGTTCCCCCTTTTTTCATTGCTGAAGAATCGGATCAGGACTCCATGAGGGGCAAAACACGTGTTCAGAACATCCCTAGAAATAAGTCAGCTTTAAAACCTAACACCATTATTAATGAAATAACATTACCTTCTATTAAAAAGTAAAGAAATTACGTATTTTGCCTAGTTTTTCTTTGGACCCAGTGGACTCCCATTATCAGAATTTTCAGAAATTTGTTGGATGAATCTGTTTAAAAATCTTGCTCTATATGTACCCTTTTAAAACTCTGAGCGTCCACCCCTTCAAAGGTCTGTGCACGGCCCTGCTCCCCACAGACAGCTGGCTTCAAACAGGAGTTAAAGGTGATGTAACAAGTTTTCAACAATGGAGATAAAATAATCATTACATTTGCCAGCGAGGCTGGTGTTGGTGGTTTTCGTTATGGCGTCCACATTGTCAGGAAGCAGAAGAGTTGTTGTTAGAAAGACCGACCACCACCAGCAGGCCAGGCGGGTTAAGGGTCTTCCCCAAGAACACAATGATTGAGACAGATTGAGCAGGGCTCAAACCATCAATGCTCCAGTTGCGGGACGGGCATACATTCTCCATCATTACCTTGCTACGAACAAATTGAAAACAGAAAATTAAAACCTAAAGTCCCCTTCTCAATGGCCTAGTGGTAGAGCGTCCTCTCTGGGAATTCCGGGTTCAAATCCCATTTGGGTCATTCCAAAGATGCAATGCCTCCCTGCTTGACACTCAGCTTTAAGGGGTTGGATTGGGGGTTAAACCACCAGTTATCGAGCTCAACCGCCGCTGCAGCTCACCGCTCTCCAAGGGGGTGGGCCAGATATGGAGATGAATTTCACCAGTGTGTGATGATGACTGTGGGACTTTGACTTTAACTTTAAAATGACAATGATGTTCCCCTCATGCTTAGGCATTGAAGATAGATTCTATCTTTAGCTAGTCTGGTCCTATTCTTTTGAAGTTTAGCTGTTAAATATTTGAGGTTGTTTACTTCATTTAGGACCTCGATCCCTGAATTGTTCTATTTCACATAATGCTCTAGTACTTGAACATCTGCTGTTAACGTTTAACTTTCTGAGTAGAATATCAACCATTTCATTACAACTTGACTCATCCCGGTGCGTCTGATCACCAGTTTGTTGGCGGTGTGCTCTTAAAATAAAATGCATCAATGTAAGCTTCCATATCCTCAATCGGTGAATCTGGTAGGTGAGTTTTTGTTATTGGTAGATTTTTGTTGATCGCTTTTGAATCTCTTATTAAAGAGGGTTTTGCTGCAAATTGGGAATTTTTGCCAGAGTACAGCTCTGCAGCTCATCTTGATCAAGCATTTTTTTGCCCTGTGTATGAGCGAGTCATGCCCCTATGGAAAGAGCTCCACCCAGATGTAAGTAGCATAGATGGCCGCTTTAACAAAATATGCTTTCAAAGCAGGCCTGAGGGGCCTTTTTCATGTAATGCTTCAGTTCCATTGAGTGGAATGGTCTGGGTCGGAGTGGGTTGTTGTGGGATGGTACGGACCAGTATGGGTTGGCGATTTCAGGGGAGTGTTTCAATCCATCAATCAATTTTTTTTATATAGCCCCTTCTATCAGCTTACTGGAGGCTCAAGGTGCTAAACAGTACATTAAACATAATAAAGTCATCACTAATAATGAAAGAGATAAAAACTGCATAAAAGCAAAAACTAGAAAACAAAGGTAAAAACTATTTTTAAAAAGAAAGCCAGTGTCAGTGATGCAGGGGGAAAGTTAACAAGGAAAAATGGGTTTTCAGGCGAGACCGAAATACCTGGAGAGATGGAGCTTGCTTCACTGTTAAAGGGAGCTCATTCAAAATGGTTGGTGGCATTATCGAAAAGGCCTGGTCCCCCTTTGATCTCAGTTTAGAGCGCAGGACTTCCAGGAACTCCTGCCCAGCAGAGCAAAGGACCTGAGAGGGGACATGCCTGTGCAACAATGCAGCTAGATGTGGTGGAGCAGTGCCCTGAACACCTAGGAGAATCTTGAATCTTGCCCGATAGCACACCGGGAGCCAGTGCAGGGACGTAGCACTGGGGTAATTTGGCCCCTCCCTCTAATCTCAGTCAGAAATCTGGCGGCGGAGTTTTGACCAAGTTGGAGCAGAGCAGTTGTAGTGTGACTCGGTCCAGCATACAATGCAGTTTTTGACTCATTTAAAAAGAGGAAGTTAGAGGCCACCCATGCCTAATTTCCCTTAAACAGTTTCAGTCACCGGTTGAACTCTCACTTGGAGAGCAGGGTTAAACCTAAATGGGTACCATCCTGTGGCTATCGCCAACGACAGTGAAGAATGTTTGAAGTCCTTAAGCTGAGCAAACTTCTCTACTACTTGCTGACATCTGTGTACAAACGATACAAGCAACAGGTCTCTGGTGCTTGTTTTGATGTTTTTCTGTTCGGAAATAGACAAAATAGCTCCTCGACCTGCTTTGGCCCAACCCGGATTCCCTCAGTGGAATCGATGCTGAAGCAGCTTTCTGAGGGACTGATGTCAAGCTGCGACTATTTTGTCCCTGAGATGCTAAGGGAGGTAGTCACTTCATGTAAATAATAAGGGTATGGATTAGTGACGACAGTCTATGCAACCAACTGGCCACATAAAAGCTGTTGAGCGACTTTTCTGCACAGTCCTCACATCACATGGCCGGCTCTTTTGGTCTGTAAGAGGCAGCCAAAAGAGGGGCTTTCTATACATTTTTCATTTTAGTTACAATGCCTAGAAGCTTTGAAAACAGAATTGTTACTTCACGCGTTTCCTAAAATTTTTTATGGACTAATTTATATTTGTTCTTTTGGGGCTACAGGCTGCTACCCGCAGTGTTCAGAAGACAAGCCGTTTTTCAATGAAGACACTATGAAGTGTGTTACCTGGGATCAATGCGGATGTTATGATGACAAAGGCACCCACTATAGCATGGGAGAGATGGTTCCATCCTACAACTGCAACCTTTGGTAGGTTAAGGCTCACCCTCTGATTATTAAATCTCAGCACTAAATCTATGCAAAAATACTGATCCATCTGGAGTGACTTTTTTCCATGATACTTTATGTAAGGATACTAATGTACTTTATGTAAAGATACTTATTTGTAGTTTAAACAAAAGACCTAGGTGGAAAGTAATGGCGTGCTACGTGAAATTTATATTTGTCATGTTGTCATAACACATTTAAAAACTGAGTGCCAAAAAGAAATAAAATGAAATTAAAACGTTTGCATTTAAAGCTCCTGCACATTAACCGGGATAAGCTGCAGCTATAATGTAATGGGTGAGTGCAAATATGTAGTTTTGATTAAAAATCTCAGCTATTTCAACATATGCTGTACTTATGACTAAGAGTAGAATTTTCTGTTAAACAACAATTTATTACTCTCAATTTCAGCTTGTAAATGCATAGTTAATGGAAAGATTTACAACTATGGGGCAACCATCTACAACACATCAGATGGATCAGGAAACTGTATGACAGCGGAGTGTGGGGCCAATGGAACAATAATAAGGACCTTCTTCCAATGCTTTGCAAGCACAACAGCTGGCCCTACCATATATCCATTTACATTTGGCACAGCTGAGACAACGGCCAAAGGTAATATTAATGCATTGCCCCGACATGAACATTAACTGCAAAGAATAACCCTCAAACCAAAATAAAATTATGGAATTATTTCATTCAATGTATTTTAAAATTGTGCTATCTGAATAAGAATAATAAAATCAGCCTTAACCCTAATTGTATAGGAATGTCATCAACAAGGAAAACAACAAGCTCCCTGTTAAAGCCCACAACATCATGGAAACCTTTGATGACGACTGGCAAGATGACTTCAAATCAAGAAAGTTCTGTTCTGACATCAAGTAGTACAGCAACTACACTTAAGCCTTCTGCCACCAGCAACAAAACTGTCACAAAACGTTTTGAAAGTACTACATCAGAAGTCACTGCCATAACCGTAGAGACAACAAAGCCATTAGAAGGTACCACTGGGCAAATAATTTCTACAACAGCAGTTCCCAACGCCAAAACATCAGCATTATGGACAACAACAGGCAATGGAAGCCCTATTGTTTCATCAAAGCCTTCCACTGAAACAACCTCTACAACAGAACCATCCACTCTTATAAATAATGCCACCATTAACATTGAAACTACAACATCAGAAGTAACAGCAGTACATATTGGTTCAACTAATCCGCCACAAGTTGTCACAAGTCAAGTAACATCTTCCTCCACTGTTGTTTTTGGAACCTCCACTACAACACCCTCAACTCAAACTTCAGTTCAAGAAAGTTCAGTTGTAACATCAAAACCCTCAGTTAGTACGAAAACTACACTTAGGCCTTCTGCCACCAGCAACGAAACTGTCACAAAACGTTTTGAAAGTACTACATCAGAAGTCACTGCCATAAATGGAGAGACAACAAAACCATCAGAAGGTACAACTGGGCAAATAATTTCTACCACAGCAGTTCCCATTGCCAAAACATCAGCATTATGGACAACAACAGGCAATGGAAGCCCTATTGTTTCATCAAAGCCGTCCACTGACACAACCTCTACAACTGGACCATCCACTCTTACAAATAATGCCACCATTAACATTGAAACTACAACATCCGACGTAACAGCAGTACATATTGGTTCAACTAATCCGCCACAAGTTGTCACAAGTCAAGTAACATCTTCCTCCACTGTTGTTTTTGGAACCTCCACCACATTACCCTCCACTCAAACTTCAGTTCAAGAAAGTTCAGTTGTAACATCAAAACCCTCAGTTAGTACGAAAACTACACTTACGCCTTATGCCACCAGAAACGAAACAGTCACAAAACGTTTTGAAAGTACTACATCAGAAGTCACTGCCATAAATGGAGAGACAACAAAACCATCAGAAGGTACAGCTGGGCAAATAATTTCTACAACAGCAGTTCCCAACGCCAAAACATCAGCATCATGGACAACAACAGGCAATGGAAGCCCTATTGTTTCATCAAAGCCTTCCACTGAAACAACCTCTACAACAGGACCATCCACTCTTTCAAATAATGCCACCATTAACATTGAAACTACAACATCAGAAGTAACAGCAGTACATATTGGTTCAACTAATCCACCACAAGTTGTCACAAGTCAAGTAACATCTTCCTCCACTGTTGTTTTTGGAACCTCCACCACAAAACCCTCAACTCAAACTTCAGTTCAAGAAAGTTCAGTTGTAACATCAAAACCCTCAGTTAGTACGAAAACTACACTTACGCCTTATGCCACCAGCAACGAAACAGTCACAAAACGTTTTGAAAGTACTACATCAGAAGTCACTGCCATAAATGGAGAGACAACAAAACCATCAGAAGGTACAGCTGGGCAAATAATTTCTACAACAGCAATTCCCAATGCCAAAACATCAGCATTATGGACAACAACAGGCAATGGAAGCCCTATTGTTTCATCAAAGCCTTCCACTGAAACAACCTCTACAACAGGACCATCCACTCTTTCAAATAATGCCACCATTAACATTGAAACTACAACATCAGAAGTAACAGCAGTACATATTGGTTCAACTAATCCACCACAAGTTGTCACAAATCAAGTAACATCTTCCGCCACTGTTGTTTTTGGAACCTCTACCACAAAACCCTCCACTCAAACTTCAGTTCAAGAAAGTTCTGTTGTAACATCAAAACCCTCAGTTAGTACGGCAACTACACTTACGCCTTCTGCCACCAGCAACAAAACTGTCACAAAACGTTTTGAAAGTACTACATCAGAAGTCACTGCCATAACCGTAGAGACAACAAAACCATCAGAAGGTACAACTGGGCAAATAATTTCTACAACAGCAGTTCCCAATGCCGAAACATCAGCATTATGGACAACAACAGGCAATGGAAGCCCTACTGTTTCATCAAAGCCTTCCACTGAAACAACCTCTACAACAGGACCATCCTCTCTTACAAATAATGCCACCATTAACATTGAAAGTACAACATCAGAAGTAACAGCAGTACATATTGGTTCAACTAATCCACCACAAGTTGTCACAAGTCAAGTAACATCTTCCTCCACTGTTGTTTTTGGAACCTCCACCACAACACCCTCAACTCAAACTTCAGTTCAAGAAAGTTCAGTTGTAACATCAAAACCCTCAGTTAGTACGAAAACTACACTTAGGCCTTCTGCCACCAGCAACGAAACTGTCACAAAACGTTTTGAAAGTACTACATCAGAAGTCACTGCCATAAATGGAGGGACAACAAAACCATCAGAAGGTACAACTGGGCAAATAATTTCTACAACAGCAGTTCCCAACGCCAAAACATCAGCATTATGGACAACAACAGGCAATGGAAGCCCTATGGTTTCATCAAAGCCGTCCACTGACACAACCTCTACAACTGGACCATCCACTCTTACAAATAATGCCACCATTAACATTGAAACTACAACATCCGACGTAACAGCAGTACATATTGGTTCAACTAATCCGCCACAAGTTGTCACAAGTCAAGTAACATCTTCCTCCACTGTTGTTTTTGGAACCTCCACCACAAAACCCTCCACTCAAACTTCAGTTCAAGAAAGTTCAGTTGTAACATCAAAACCCTCAGTTAGTACGACAACTACACTTACGCCTTCTGCCACCAGCAACGAAACTGTCACAAAACGTTTTGAAAGTACTACATCAGAAGTCACTGCCATAAATGGAGAGACAACAAAACCATCAGAAGGTACAGCTGGGCAAATAATTTCTACAACAGCAATTCCCAATGCCAAAACATCAGCATTATGGACAACAACAGGCAATGGAAGCCCTATTGTTTCATCAAAGCCTTCCACTGACACAACCTCTACAACAGGACCATCCACTCTTTCAAATAATGCCACCATTAACATTGAAACTACAACATCAGAAGTAACAGCAGTACATATTGGTTCAACTAATCCACCACAAGTTGTCACAAGTCAAGTAACATCTTCCTCCACTGTTGTTTTTGGAACCTCTACCACAACACCCTTAACTCAAACCTCAGTTCAAGAAAGTTCAGTTGTAACATCAAAACCCTCAGTTAGTACGGCAACTACACTTAGGCCTTCTGCCACCAGCAACGAAACTGTCACAAAACGTTTTGAAAGTACTACATCAGAAGTCACTGCCATAACCATAGAGACAACAAAGCAATTAGAAGGTACAACTGGGAAAATCATTTCTACCACAGCAGTTCCCAATGCCAAAACATCAGCATTATGGACAACAACAGGCAATGGAAGCCCTATTGTTTCATCAAAGCCTTCCACTGAAACAACCTCTACAACAGGACCATCCTCTCTTACAAATAATGCCACCATTGACATTGAAACTACAACATCAGAAGTAACAGCAGTACATATTGGTTCAACTAATCCGCCACAAGTTGTCACAAGTCAAGTACCATCTTCCTCCACTGTTGTTTTTGGAACCTCTACCACAAAACCCTCAACTCAAACCTCAGTTCAAGAAAGTTCATTTGTAACATCAAAACCCTCAGTTAGTACGACAACCACACTTAGGCCTTCTGCCACCAGCAACGAAACTGTCACAAAACGTTTTGAAAGTACTACATCAGAAGTCACTGCCATAACCGTAGAGACAACAAACCCATCAGAAGGTACAACTGGGCAAATAATTTCTACAACAGCAGTTCCCAATGCCGAAACATCAGCATCATGGACAACAACAGGCAATGGAAGCCCTATTGTTTCATCAAAGCCTTCCACTGAAACAACCTCTACAACAGGACCATCCACTCTTACAAATAATGCCACCATTAACATTGAAACTACAACATCAGAAGTAACAGCAGTACATATTGGTTCAACTAATCCGCCACAAGTTGTCACAAGTCAAGTAACATCTTCCTCCACTGTTGTTTTTGGAACCTCCACCACAAAACCCTCAACTCAAACCTCAGTTCAAGAAAGTTCAGTTGTAACATCAAAACCCTCAGTTAGTACGGCAACTACACTTACGCCTTCTGCCACCAGCAACGAAACTGTCACAAAACGTTTTGAAAGTACTACATCAGAAGTCACTGCCATAACCGTAGAGACAACAAACCCATCAGAAGGTACAACTGGGCAAATAATTTCTACAACAGCAGTTCCCAATGCCGAAACATCAGCATCATGGACAACAACAGGCAATGGAAGCCCTATTGTTTCATCAAAGCCTTCCACTGAAACAACCTCTACAACTGGACCATCCTCTCTTACAAATAATGCCACCATTAACATTGAAACTACAACATCAGAAGTAACAGCAGTACATATTGGTTCAACTAATCCGCCACAAGTTGTCACAAGTCAAGTAACATCTTCCTCCACTGTTGTTTTTGGAACCTCCACCACAACACCCTCAACTCAAACTTCAGTTCAAGAAAGTTCAGTTGTAACATCAAAACCCTCAGTTACTACGAAAACTACACTTAGGCCTTCTGCCACCAGCAACGAAACTGTCACAAAACGTTTTGAAAGTACTACATCAGAAGTCACTGCCATAAATGGAGAGACAAGAAAACCATCAGAAGGTACAACTGGGCAAATAATTTCTACAACAGCAGTTCCCAATGCCAAAACATCAGCATTATGGACAACAACAGGCAATGGAAGTCCTATAGTTTCATCAAAGCCGTCCACTGACACAACCTCTACAACTGGACCATCCACTCTTACAAATAATGCCACCATTAACATTGAAACTACAACATCAGAAGTAACAGCAGTACATATTGGTTCAACTAATCCACCACAAGTTGTCACAAGTCAAGTAACATCTTCCTCCACTGTTGTTTTTGGAACCTCCACCACAAAACCCTCCACTCAAACTTCAGTTCAAGAAAGTTCAGTTGTAACATCAAAACCCTCAGTTAGTACGAAAACTACACTTACGCCTTATGCCACCAGCAACGAAACTGTCACAAAACGTTTTGAAAGTACTACATCAGAAGTCACTGCCATAACCGTAGAGACAACAAAACCATCAGAAGGTACAACTGGGCAAATAATTTCTACAACAGCAATTCCCAACGCCAAAACATCAGCATTATGGACAACAACAGGCAATGGAAGCCCTACTGTTTCATCAAAGCCTTCCACTGAAACAACCTCTACAACAGGACCATCCACTCTTACAAATAATGCCACCAATAACATTGAAACTACAACATCTGATGTTACAGCAGTACATATTGGTTCAACTAATCCGCCACAAGTTGTCACAAGTCAAGTAACATCTTCCTCCACTGTTGTTTTTGGAACCTCTACCACAAAACCCTCCACTCAAACTTCAGTTCAAGAAAGTTCAGTTGTAACATCAAAACCCTCAGTTAGTACGAAAACTACACTTAGGCCTTCTGCCACCAGCAACGAAACTGTCACAAAACGTTTTGAAAGTACAACATCAGAAGTCACTGCCATAACCATAGAGACAACAAAGCAATTAGAAGGTACAACTGGGCAAATCATTTCTACCACAGCAGTTCCCAATGCCGAAACATCAGCATTATGGACAACAACAGGCAATGGAAGCCCTACTGTTTCATCAAAGCCTTCCACTGAAACAACCTCTACAACAGGACCATCCACTCTTACAAATAATGCCACCAATAACATTGAAACTACAACATCTGATGTTACAGCAGTACATATTGGTTCAACTAATCCGCCACAAGTTGTCACAAGTCAAGTAACATCTTCCTCCACTGTTGTTTTTGGAACCTCCACTACAACACCCTCAACTCAAACTTCAGTTCAAGAAAGTTCAGTTGTAACATCAAAACCCTCAGTTAGTACGAAAACTACACTTACGCCTTATGCCACCAGCAACGAAACTGTCACAAAACGTTTTGAAAGTACTACATCAGAAGTCACTGCCATAAATGGAGAGACAACAAAACCATCAGAAGGTACAGCTGGGCAAATAATTTCTACAACAGCAGTTCCCAACGCCAAAACATCAGCATTATGGACAACAACAGGCAATGGAAGCCCTATTGTTTCTTCAGAGCCTTCCACTGAAACAACCTCTACAACAGGACCATCCTCTCTTTCAAATAATGCCACCATTAACATTGAAACTACAACATCAGAAGTAACAGCAGTACATATTGGTTCAACTAATCCACCACAAGTTGTCACAAGTCAAGTAACATCTTCCTCCACTGTTGTTTTTGGAACCTCTACCACAAAACCCTCCACTCAAACTTCAGTTCAAGAAAGTTCAGTTGTAACATCAAAACCCTCAGTTAGTACGACAACTACACTTAGGCCTTCTGCCACCAGCAACGAAACTGTCACAAAACGTTTAGAAAGTACAACATCAGAAGTCACTGCCATAACCGGAGAGACAACAAAGCCATTAGAAGGTACAACTGGGCAAATAATTTCTACAACAGCAGTTCCCAATGCCAAAACATCAGCATTATGGACAACAACAGGCAATGGAAGCCCTATGGTTTCATCAAAGCCTTCCACTGACACAACCTCTACAACTGGACCATCCACTCTTACAAATAATGCCACCATTAACATTGAAACTACAACATCCGACGTAACAGCAGTACATATTGGTTCAACTAATCCACCACAAGTTGTCACAAGTCAAGTAACATCTTCCTCCACTGTTGTTTTTGGAACCTCTACCACAAAACCCTCCACTCAAACTTCAGTTCAAGAAAGTTCAGTTGTAACATCAAAACCCTCAGTTAGTACGACAACTACACTTAGGCCTTATGCCACCAGCAACGAAACTGTCACAAAACGTTTTGAAAGTACTACATCAGAAGTCACTGCCATAACCGTAGAGACAACAAAACCATCAGAAGGTACAACTGGGCAAATAATTTCTACAACAGCAATTCCCAACGCCAAAACATCAGCATTATGGACAACAACAGGCAATGGAAGCCCTATTGTTTCATCAAAGCCTTCCACTGAAACAACCTCTACAACAGGACCATCCACTCTTACAAATAATGCTACCATTAACATTGAAACTACAACATCAGAAGTAACAGCAGTACATATTGGTTCAACTAATCCACCACAAGTTGTCACAAGTCAAGTAACATCTTCCTCCACTGTTGTTTTTGGAACCTCCACCACAACACCCTCAACTCAAACTTCAGTTCAAGAAAGTTCAGTTGTAACATCAAAACCCTCAGTTAGTACGAAAAGTACACTTAGGCCTTCTGCCACCAGCAACGAAACTGTCACAAAACGTTTTGAAAGTACTACATCAGAAGTCACTGCCATAAATGGAGAGACAACAAAACCATCAGAAGGTACAACTGGGCAAATAATTTCTACAACAGCAGTTCCCAACGCCAAAACATCAGCATTATGGACAACAACAGGCAATGGAAGCCCTATTGTTTCATCAAAGCCTTCCACTGAAACAACCTCTACAACAGGACCATCCACTCTTACAAATAATGCCACCATTAACATTGAAACTACAACATCCGACGTAACAGCAGTACATATTGGTTCAACTAATCCGCCACAAGTTGTCACAAGTCAAGTAACATCTTCCTCCACTGTTGTTTTTGGAACCTCCACCACAAAACCCTCCACTCAAACTTCAGTTCAAGAAAGTTCAGTTGTAACATCAAAACCCTCAGTTAGTACGAAAACTACACTTACGCCTTCTGCCACCAGCAACGAAACTGTCACAAAACGTTTTGAAAGTACTACATCAGAAGTCACTGCCATAACCGTAGAGACAACAAAACCATCAGAAGGTACAACTGGGCAAATAATTTCTACAACAGCAGTTCCCAACGCCAAAACATCAGCATTATGGACAACAACAGGCAATGGAAGCCCTATTGTTTCATCAAAGCCTTCCACTGAAACAACCTCTACAACAGGACCATCCTCTCTTTCAAATAATGCCACCATTAACATTGAAACTACAACATCAGAAGTAACAGCAGTACATATTGGTTCAACTAATCCACCACAAGTTGTCACAAGTCAAGTAACATCTTCCTCCACTGTTGTTTTTGGAACCTCCAACACAACACCCTCAACTCAAACTTCAGTTCAAGAAAGTTCAGTTGTAACATCAAAACCCTCAGTTAGTACGAAAACTACACTTACGCCTTCTGCCACCAGCAACGAAACTGTCACTAAACGTTTTGAAAGTACTACATCAGAAGTCACTGCCATAACCGTAGAGACAACAAAGCCATTAGAAGGTACAACTGGGCAAATAATTTCTACAACAGCAGTTCCCAACGCCAAAACATCAGCATTATGGACAACAACAGGCAATGGAAGCCCTATTGTTTCATCAAAGCCTTCCACTGAAACAAACTCTACAACAGGACCATCCTCTCTTTCAAATAATGCCACCAATAACATTGAAACTACAACATCAGAAGTAACAGCAGTACATATTGGTTCAACTAATCCACCAAAAGTTGTCACAAGTCAAGTAACATCTTCCTCCACTGTTGTTTTTGGAACCTCCACCACAAAACCCTCCACTCAAACTTCAGTTCAAGAAAGTTCAGTTGTAACATCAAAACCCTCAGTTAGTACGACAACCACACTTAGGCCTTCTGCCACCAGCAACGAAACTGTCACAAAACGTTTTGAAAGTACTACATCAGAAGTCACTGCCATAAATGGAGAGACAACAAAACCATCAGAAGGTACAACTGGGCAAATAATTTCTACCACAGCAGTTCCCATTGCCAAAACATCAGCATTATGGACAACAACAGGCAATGGAAGCCCTATTGTTTCATCAAAGCCTTCCACTGAAACAACCTCTATAACAGGACCATCCACTCTTACAAATAATGCCACCATTAACATTGAAACTACAACATCAGAAGTAACAGCAGTACATATTGGTTCAACTAATCCGCCACAAGTTGTCACAAGTCAAGTAACATCTTCCTCCACTGTTGTTTTTGGAACCTCTACCACAAAACCCTCAACTCAAACTTCAGTTCAAGAAAGTTCAGTTGTAACATCAAAACCCTCAGTTAGTACGGCAACTACACTTACGCCTTCTGCCACCAGCAACGAAACTGTCACAAAACGTTTTGAAAGTACTACATCAGAAGTCACTGCCATAACCGGAGAGACAACAAAACCATCAGAAGGTACAACTGGGCAAATAATTTCTACAACAGCAATTCCCAATGCCAAAACATCAGCATTATGGACAACAACAGGCAATGGAAGCCCTATTGTTTCTTCAGAGCCTTCCACTGAAACAACCTCTACAACAGGACCATCCACTCTTTCAAATAATGCCACCATTAACATTGAAACTACAACATCCGACGTAACAGCAGTACATATTGGTTCAACTAATCCACCACAAGTTGTCACAAGTCAAGTAACATCTTCCTCCACTGTTGTTTTTGGAACCTCTACCACAAAACCCTCCACTCAAACTTCAGTTCAAGAAAGTTCAGTTGTAACATCAAAACCCTCAGTTAGTACGACAACTACACTTAGGCCTTCTGCCACCAGCAACGAAACTGTCACAAAACGTTTTGAAAGTACAACATCAGAAGTCACTGCCATAAATGGAGAGACAACAAAATCATCAGAAGGTACAACTGGGCAAATAATTTCTACAACAGCAGTTCCCAATGCCAAAACATCAGCATTATGGACAACAACAGGCAATGGAAGCCCTATGGTTTCATCAATGCCGTCCACTGACACAACCTCTACAACAGGACCATCCACTCTTTCAAATAATGCCACCATTAACATTGAAACTACAACATCAGAAGTAACAGCAGTACATATTGGTTCAACTAATCCACCAATGGTTGTCACAACAAGTCAATTGACTTCTTCCTCCACTGTTGTTTTTGGAACCTCCACCACAAAACCCTCAGTTAGTACGAAAACTACACTTAAGCCTTCTGCCACCAGCAACGAAACTGTCACAAAACGTTTTGAAAGTACTACCTCAGAAGTCACTGCCATAACCGGAGAGACAACAAATCCTCAGAAAGTTTTCACAAGTTCAGTGACAAATGTTAATACTACACAGTTTGGAGGTATAACATCTAATTCCTCTTTTAAGACATCATCAACATCAGTTGGTAAAATCACAGACTTAATACATTCAACAAGTGTTATCTCTAAATCTTCTACTTGGACCACAAGAGCTGTAACCACAAGTAAACTTGTTGGAGCCACGACATACATTGCACCTCTGACACAGACACTTCCCAGCTCCACAACAGTTTATCCATCTATTATTACGACCCATCCACCTGGAACCACTGGGTCTTCCACCTCCCACAATACAAACACAGCAACATCCTGTGTGTGTATTTTTAACCAAACGTCCTACAATCCTGGTAAGTTGACTTAATCATCTTTTTAATTTTTTCTTCTTCATATCTTCTGTGCAACAATTCAAAAGAACATTTTTAGCTCTTTGCACTGCCTCGACAAAAAAGTTGCCAACCAGAAAATTAAAGGTCACACACTAATCTTTTGTTGCACCGCCTTTAGCTTTGATTACAGCACACATTTCTTGTGGCATTGTTTTTATAAGTTTTTGCTACATCATAAAAAAAAATTTACATCCAGATTTGCATTACTTTTTCATCAGAATGTTGCATTGTTGATGGTAGAGTTTGGACACTGCCCAAAGCCTCCTCAAGCACATCCCAAAAATTCTCAATGGGGTTAAGATCTGGACTCTGTGGTGGCCAATTCATGTGTGAAAATGATTTCTCTTGCTCCCTGAACCACTCTTTCACTTTTTTAGCCCGATGAATCCTAGAATTGTCATCTTGGATTATTCCCGTGCCATCAGATAAGGAAAAATCCATTGATGGAATAACCGAGTCATTCAGTCTATTTAGGTACTCAGCTGACCTCCTTTGTGGGGTACATAGTGTTGCTAAACCTAGACCTGACCAACTGCAGCAACCCCAAATCATAACACTGCCCCCACATGCTTGTATAGTAGGCACTAGGCATAATGGGTGCACCATCACTCTGCAATCTCCTTAGATGTTTTCTCTGCTTGATGCATGCCAATGATCTGACCCTTCTCAACACAATAACATATTTTCCACGACCACCAGATGTGTCTTTCCAAACGTTATCCACGTTGTTTAAGAAATGAGAAGCAACTCATTACACCATTTGGGGTTAAATAACTTGTTGCCAGCTAAAAGATAACCCTGGCCAAGAATTCTGCTGTTATGTCCTTGGTCAAGACACTTAGCCCACCTTGCTTGCTGGTGATGGTTGAAGGGGCCGGTGGCCCCTGTTATCGGCAGCCTTATCTCTGTCAATGTGCCCCGGGGCAGCTGTGGCTACAATGTACTCCATCACCATCAGTATACAAGTACGGGTCATTTATCATTTATCATAATCACCCATACAGTAATCATCCAAAGGAGTGTTCTACCTATTAGTTAAGTTAGCTTAGTTAAGCTTAGTTAAATCTGGGTGGCAACTTTTTTTCTGGCCAGGCAGTGTATTATGCTAGCAAACACATTTAGAAAGACAGATGCGACAAAATTATGACCCACAGTTAACTTTTTTTTTGTGTGACACGCCTTGTGATTTTTTCTACATCGTGATTTTATAAACCTGCTCATGATTAATGTCAATAACCAGTGTTTTTTGGGCTGTATGCTCTAAATATTGCTGAATTCTATGTTTTAAACAGGGGATTTGTTGTACAACGTTACGGATGGCATTGGGTGGTGTTATGCTGCATTTTGCAATACATCTTGCAAAGTTGAGACTCAATCCAGCCCATGTTCAACAACCCCCGTACCTAACACCACTTCACTTCCAACGTCGGTATTCAGCACAGTAACAGAGGAAATACTTTCAAGCCATGTAACTCCAGTCACAGCCATTTCCAGTTCTACTTCTATTTTAGCAACAAACCATTCTACAATTTCTCTGAACTGCATCGACGTAGATCCACCAAGACAAGTAAGTCAGTTTTGTTTTTATTGCATTTTATTGAAGACAAGGTTCCCAACAAAAACTAGAACTAGAACTGTACTTAAAAGCACTCATACTGTTCTAACCAACCGTAGGTTGCTCTAATACCTCAAAAATGTCTCCTTGTTTTTTGAGCATTTCTTATTCTCATTTGTCAAGCCCAGTTCCGTTTTATTCTACTTCTTCATAATAATATGTTGTCTGATTGGTGTTTCAGCAACAAAAGACAGATAATTATTGTAGACAAGATGGTCTACAGCTGTTATGACTTGGACATAACCTAAAACAGATCTGATTCCACATGGTTGACTAGGCCTGGCTAGATGAAGACCCCAGATAGACCCAGTTTGTGGATTAAAAAAAATACTGGAGTGGATAACAGGAGGGGTAAAGCATGCAAATGCAATATATTACTTGAATCAGAGTCAGGGGTGATGTCATACCATTTGGATCCCCACACCATAATCCCAGGCATAACACCAATCTCTGGTTTAAATTGAAGACAGATGTGACATTTGTACTCTGATTTGAACACAATACAAAAAGCTGACCTTTTGCAAACCTCAATCCAGGAGTTGTATTGAATTTAGTCCTGACTTCAAAGTGAACTTGATGCAGGGGCGTAAACATCTTCTCTGACTGCAGCTCGGGCCGGCAGCTTCAGGCACAGGAGCATGAGGACAGACTAGTAAGAGAGGAGCCTACAGCAGTGCTGCTTCTCAGCGAGAGTAGGAAGCTGTGTGCTTCATATCAGAGTCTCCAAAAGCAACACTTCTAGTGGTCATTGTTGTTTCCAAAATTAAGGAAGACACGCAAACTTCTCTGTGGATCCTTCGTCCCGCTCACATGCTCGGAGAAGTCCACATTTCTGAGAAGGCTGCGAGAACCAAATGTGGCCATGTGGGCGCGGGAATACCCCACCCAGTCCAGAATGGGTTGACCCAGATGTGCATGTGACATATTTGAACCTCTCTCCCTAACCTGGTCTGTGTGACTGGTTAGAAAGAGCAAAGCATGTATTCCATGCAGGTTACAGACACTGTAGCCTGGTTTATGCTTCTCCGTCAGCTCCGCAAGGGACAGACACGCACGGATTGACGGAAGCGTTTTGCTCTTTTACTTCTCTGTCTCCTGGAGAGTGTTGCAAAGCAATTGCCCGGCAGGACCACAGAGGGCGTAGCGCTGTTCTGTGGTTTCGTGTCATGTATCGGTCCAAGATAGTGTGTTTATATTGTGTTTTTTGTGTATACAAGAGACTTTTAACACTGACATATTTCTCTCTCATTCTCCCACCGCTTCATGCGCTCCCCACCTCTAAACCCACGTTTCCTGTCATTTCCGTCCACAAATAAAACGCTTGCTGCGCATCTTTTCACTTCTCCAGTCACGGGGGAATTAAACGTTCACATTTTTAGAGTTTTTTCGTGAGGTATTCGTCAAGCTTCTCCGTGTCTGCCGCTAGTTATCCTCGGCTCTCTTTGCAATGGTGGCGCTGTAAACAACAGCGGCGTCCTGACCAATCACAAGCTTGCGTAATCCGTCTCGTTCGACGGATGTTTAAAAAAGTGGGCTCGACTCCGTACGTACTTGCGTGCCCTACGCAAGGACGGATAATGGCGTTGCGTGTCTCCGCACTGACGCAGACGGAGAAGCATAAATCAGGCTTGTCCCATGAAGCTTCACCCTCACCGAGGCACTTATTCAGCATTCTTCCAACACTCCCCCTCACTGTTGACCCATCCTCATTGTGCAACTGCACCAATCGCCACTGGAGCCTTCTGAGACCTCCTGCAGGTAGCCAGTCAGACGACAGTACCTGCAGAATGAAAACACACAGACAGTCCTACAACAAGTCGCAACTGAGTCTAAACTTGATGTCAAGTTGTTGTTGTTATTGTTGTTAGCCTCAAGGGCAACATGCCGATTATCACTTGTAAGTCGCTTTGGACAAAAGCATCTGCTAAATACATAAACATAAACATCATTAGTGCTTCTGTTTAAGAATTCATCACATTTATGATTTGATTCTAACCTTGTGGACTTCTGAATCCCCTCAGAGCGGAGAGTCCTGGACTGTTGATAACTGCTTCATAGCTACATGCGCCAATGGACAGATAACACAGAAACCTAAACTCTGTCCATCTGTGACCCCGCCCATCTGTCTCAACGGGCGCAATGCTGTCAAGGTCTATGATGAGAATGGATGTTGTTTTCACTACGAATGTGAATGTAAGTTTTCATCACCACATGAGGTGTTAAATCTGACTGTTGCATGTTGAAAAAAGCTCTAGAAATAGTAAACCAGAACTATCTAGTCCTATAAATAACTAAAGTTTCATTAAGCATGTCTGCTGTGGCATGGGACTCAGACGCAGATGAAACTGAAATATAACATCTTGTTTGTCTTTTGGTTTCTAACTTACTGTCTGTTGTGGTATTTTACCCTAAATATTATGTTTGTAGTAAACCTGTAAAACACTTATCTTAGAGACATACATTAACTACATGGAAATTAATAACAGGATACTTTTTCTACATGGTTACAGGTGTGTGCACCGTCTGGAGTGGCTCTCACTACATGACCTTTGATGGACAGTTGTTCACTTTTGACCAGAATTGTTCTTATTACCTGGTCAAAGAAATAATTCCAAAATACAACTTAACTATTATAAAAAGCAATGACTGTGATCCTTCAGACAGCTCATTCTGCCCTGTTTCCCTCACGTTAATTTATAAGTCATTTAAAGTAGTTTTAACTCAGACAAATGCTGCTGGAGCTTCAGTTAACATGGTAAGCATCAGTTTAAACAAACAAAACACATTTTTATGGATAATATCTACATTTTTTGTTGTCTTGACCGAATTTTATGCTTCAGCTCTAGATAAAACACCATATTTGTGCTGTTCAGAAGGCAGTTTCATCCAGTGACTTTAGTCCCGTGTTCAACAGGTTTTTGTGAATCAGAAACGAGTCTATCCAGCCTACAGCAACTCTGTCCTGCTCATCACCGACACAGATATGGTGATCACGTTGGTCATACAGGAGATTGAGACAACAGTAGTCTACAGAGACTCGTCATTCAGCATCGACCTTCCAGATTCCCTTTTTGGAGGAAACTCTGAGGGACAATGCGGTATGTTTCCAGAGAACCGTGTTTTCATCATGGCCTTGCTTACTCTTTTCTTGGGGTGAATTAACTAACATCTGTAAACGTTTGGTGATCCTCTCCACAAAACCTCTGTTGCAGTCCTACTGAGGCCTAGTCCACACGTAGCCGTTTTTTTTTTTAAACGAATATCCGCCCCACCAAAAACTTGCATCCACACCACCTCGTTTAAAAAAAAAACTCTGTCCACACGTAGCAGGATAAATACGTTGTTAAGGACATGCCAGACCTGTAGGCGGCAGTACTTCCCCCGTTCTTAACCTCGTCCTTCGTCTGTGGTCTTCCGCAAAGAGCAGTAATTCCGCTTGCAAAAACAAACAAGCAAAAAGCGCTTGGACAATTGATAAAGCGAGCGCAGCTCTGAGGGCGTCCATGCTGTCGGCTAGTGTAAACACAGGTCGCACACGTGATGTCAGCATTTTTTTGTCGCGGAAAGTGACGTTGCAGACCTTAAAACTCCGGTTTTGTCTGTTCACACGCAGACACCCAAAACGGAGAAAACGCAGATCTTTACTTTGGCCGGAGTTTTTAAAAAGATCCGTTTTCGTGGGAAAAAACTCCGTTTTCGTGTGGATGACAGGCCAAAACGTAGAAAAATATCTACGTTTTGGCAGATCCCTGGCTACGTGTGGACAGGGCCTGAATCTATTTCACACCCTAACTTTATTTGTAGTCAAAATGGATACAAAGGCAAATCCGCAAAACAAGCTAGCTTAAAACATTTTTCATGCCTCTTAACAATGTTCTAAAATAGAATACGTTTATTGTGGAGATTTAAAAAAAAAGAACGAATGCAGATCAGCCGATCAAGGGGCAGAAAAAAAGGACAAACCTCCAATCTTATTTTAATGTTTTCAACAATAAAACGCAGGAAAGCATCATTTTACCTGCAGTAGTGAAGAAAAACTTCTATGAGCAAAATGAAAACATGAAAAATGATTACATGAACCAGGAGAGCAGGAAGAAATGTCATTTCAGTTTTTATTTTTGCTTCAGTTCGAACTTTTTAGAATTTTAATTTTCATCACATTTAGCTTGTTTTTGTTTAAAATCTCTTCAGTTTAATTCATTTTATAAGAACTTTTGTGTTGCATTGTTTGAAAAAAAAAACATAATTACTTGAAAGGTTTTGTATTTAAAATATGTTTTGAACGTTAGTATTTGTTCATTTATGACAAAATTCTTGTTAATCATAACCTCATAAAAATATGAATGAAATGAACGTTTGAGCATCTTAAAACATTTTGAGTAAATAGCTAACTCGGAGGCCTCCTAAACTGTTATTTATCTGCTGCTTTTTAAAAAGGTACCTGCGACAACTCCCAGGCCAATGACTGCCGTTCTCCAAATGGCCAGGTGGAGAACTGCTTAGCCTCTGCAGGCAAGTGGTATGTCCCAGAGACTCCCTGTGTAACCCCGTCAGCTCCTCCAATTACTACAAGTGGGCCTGCAACTTCACCACAGTCCTCCTCAACCACACAGTCTCTATGCAAACCTTCAATCTGTGATCTCCTCACAAGCAGGTAAGGGAAACCAACAATCAAAGGTCAATTACGCTTTTTTCTTTTTACCTGTTTGGAGTAATAATTGCATTTGTTAGAAGCACGTGTTGTTTAGGACTAATGTATTTATTCTCATCAAAAATTACATAGAATCCGTAGTTTGAGTTACAGTGGAGCTAAGGGGAGCCCGACTCCCCCGTAAGGGCAATGGGCTCCCCTAATCCTAATCCGCAATCCTTCACACCCAGCCCCAAAAAGATCTAGTTTCAACCTAGTTTACATTATTTACATGGACTCTCAGCATACCCAGACTTCTTTGTGCTCCAGGCAGCTGCGTCCTGCGCGTGGCCACTAGGGGTTGTATCAACTAGTCGACTAGTCGACTTCACGGCTCTGTAGTGACTTTTTATGCCTGTCATCGACTAGTCGCTGTCACGAGATAATGACTGACAAGATGCAGTCCTTGGAAAAGACAGCAGGTGACGAGCTCCTGCGCGTTGGGAGGCGATGCGCTGTGCTAGAGCGTCGGTATCTGATGCCCACGGTAAAACGGACATTTGACCGAATTGTGACCTTTACCCTCTTGCAATTTAACCTTCCCCTCACCTTCATCCTAACCTTAACCGGCTTGTGCATGCAAAGCTCTGATCGCTGACGCGCTCCAGACATCTGCGTCCTGAGAACGGCCACAGTAACATTATCAAATTAGGTGTCGCCACCTCAAAAACAAATCTAACACGCTCATTTCCTTTTATGTTTTCTGTCTTTTATTTGTGCCTGATGCATTTTGCTGCTGCAGAGCAGAGCGCATCACCTGTTTTGTCCTCCGGTGACCACCTCACCAGCGCGGTCGGCACGCACTCCGCTGTTTTTGCGGTCGGTAGATCTTTTAGAACTGCAGTTCAAAGGTAGCAGTTTCTCTTTAGGATTGAGAGGAGATGCAGGAAGATAATAAACAGGCAGGACAGAAAAATAGTCAAATAAAAACAAGTTAGTTTTTGTACCTGGTGGTCGCAACAAACAGACACCATTGAAGGTAATCAGAAGTGAGGAACAGAAAATGAAATAATTATTTTAATGTTTAGAGCAGCAGGAACTCCGAGAGGCTGCAGGCGCATCAGTGAGTTTGCTGCCGCTGCGCAGGGGGAGGGGGGAGAGGGCTGAAGCGGAAACTACCGTTGTTAAAAGAAATGTGTTTAACTTTGAAAATGTGGGCGCGATTTTAATTGTCAAAAACTCCAACGAACCAACCCGCTTCAGGTGTATGACGTCATCAACGACTAGTCAAAGTCGACTCGATTTTCATTACTTGACTGTCGACTTTCAAAAAATTAAGTCCTGCAGCCCCTAGTGGCCACGGTAACATTCTTAAAGTGGTGTCACAAAAAATATAATTAACACAAGATTTTTCATGTCCGACCATATTCTCCGGTACTTTCTGTCTTTTAGCCGTGCCTGACGCGCTCTGCCGCTGCAGAGCTCATCTCCCGTGCTCCGGTGATGTCACCCTATTAGCGCACACCGCTGCCTTTGCGGTCGGTAGATCCCTTTGATCTGCTTAGTTCACAAGTAGCTCACAAGGTGAAAAAGAATGAAAAACAGGAAGCAGTTTTTCTGGAGGATTGAGAGGAGATGCAGGCGGTTCAGTGACAGCCAGGATAGGAAAACAGTCACATAAACAAATGTAGGCTACATGAACATCTGAATTTCATTCATTCATTTCTAAACGGACTCATCTGCCTTTCCAGTGTATTTGCACCCTGCCACACACTCATCTCCCCAGGACTGTTTGTGATGTCCTGTTCTGACGATGCATGTAATGGTGGGAACGTCAGCTGTTCCAGCCTGGAGGCTTACGCCACGGCATGCGCCACTGCTGGGGCTTGTATCGACTGGAGGAGCGCTACTAATGGGCTTTGTGGCAAGAAATACACTTATTACTCTATTTAATCAGTTTGGTTGTGCAAAATATGTCAATAAAAATTATTTTGTCTTTTAGAGCACAAATGTCCGAGCAACAAAATGTACATGGCCTGTGGTCCGTTGGTAGAGCCCACGTGCAATGACAGGTACAATGGAGCTTCATCAGACCTTTGAGCCTTTGACTACCGTTAAAAACCAGAGATTTCATTAGTTCCTGTTGTGAGAGGGTTACTTTACTTCACTGAGGGACTGAGAAGATATGATGAGAATCAGGAAGATCAACATTAAAGTACAAGCCTAGCCTCAGAACTTGGCCTCCTAGCTAGATATTTCATACTCACTTTTCATCTTTTAAAGGGGCTATATTAGCCCAGCACCTTTGGCAACTTTTGATCATGCTGTATTGTAGAGATGCTCTGTGTTGGCTTTTGAAGGGTTAGGGTTGCTGAGTGCTTCGTGGCAGAATGAGAGCTCCTGAGTCATGCAGGTAAACGGGAGCAGAAGGAAGCAGATAATAAACACTGAAGATGCACCAAAGGAGACGTGCTCAGTGCTTTCATGTGTGACACAGCCTTGTATTAAACACTGACTTCATTTTTGACATCAGGTACAACAAGAAGTTTGTTTCATCCTCCAACAACACAGAGGAAGGCTGCTTCTGTCCCTCTGGAACCACTTTATTCAACACGGTGTATGACGACTGTGTCATTTCCTGTGGTAAGGAGATGTTTGATTTAAAAAAATGATGGCTTTCATTTAGTCATCATTGAAATGGGCAGAGTATTTGATTTAGTTCCCTTCACTGCTGTAGAACGGGGGTACCAGCAGCCCATAGCTGTGCACAAAACCAAGTCTGGATGGAAAGCTGACACACTGATCTCATTCTCACTAACGTTCTTCTGGTTACTAGTCACGCTTTTCTAAAACTAGTTGAACTGCTTACCGTTTTTGTTTCAGATTGTGTTGGTCCAGATGGAAAACCCAAACAGGTGAACAAAATAAATGTTGAAAACTCTTTGGATACAACTTCTGGCAGGCGAGATTGCAGAGCTGGTTTGTTTCCATTCAACAGCCCGGTGAAACATGGACGACTGGATGCAACACGTGTGCGTGCGACCTGGATTCCATGAGTGTCAGGTGTGAGCCGGTAACATGCCCAGCATTAAGCACCCCCCTCTGCAGCGACCTGGGCCAGCAGCTGGTCAACAGAACCGATGGCTGCTGCACGATTCAGTCATGCGGTAAGTTCAATTCAAGTTTATTTATAAAGCGCCAAATCACGACAAGAGTCGTCTCAAGGCACTTCACATAATAAACATTCCAGTAGAGGTCAGTTCATTAAGCCAATCAGAAAAAAAAGTTTCCTATATAAGGAACCCAGCAGGTTGCATCAAGTCGCTGACTAGTGTCAGTGACTATACAGCAATCCTCATACTAAGGAAGCATTTAGCGACAGTGGAGAGGAAAACTCCCTTTTAACAGGAAGAAACCTCCAGAGAATCCTGGCTCAGTATAAGCAGCCATCCACCACGACTCACTGTGGATGGAGAAGACAGAGCACACACACACACGCACACACACACACACACACACACACACACACACACACACACACACACACACACACACACACACACACACACACACACACACACACACACACACACACACACACACACACACACACACACACACACACACACGACTCCTGACTGAAACGCAGCAGTAGAGCCCTGCGTGGGACTGTTTTCTTCATCCCGCTCCCGCTGAATTTCTGACAATTACCGCCCGCAACCGTAGCGTGCATGTCTACTCCCGCCTGCAACCGCAAAACTCTGAGAAATTATTACCTCACAATAAAAGAGATGTATTGAGTTTGCGTCCTCTCTGGTCCTGGAGAAAACATGTCATTTTATAGGCTATACCAGGGGTCGGCAACCCGCGGCTCTTCCTTCCATCTGATGCGGCTCTCTGTGCTTGTAAAATGATGAATGGATATTTAAATAAAAAGCTTTATATTTTACTGCATTAATTTTATATCTGTAAGTCAATTCTATGTAAAGATTGTCTGCGTAAACCTGAACAGTTCCAACCCGGTCTTACTGTGAGACCGGGTTGACGGGTCACGCTTGTGCGTAATCATATCGGCGCATTCTGAGCTGAAGAGGATGTGAGATTCTGGGACTCTCCTCAGACTCCACATTGGAGACAGGAACAAGCACTATACAGCCAAAGTTTCATAATCAGGGAACATTTTCTAAGTGACAAGTCTCTCTGAGAGTCAGGATTTGGAAAACACTCGCTTCAGTGGGAGGAATCTTCCCGCATGCGCTCTGGTTCTGCAACGCGCTCCAAGCCAATCTCCACATCTTCAGGTCGCTGTGCACCTTATGTAGTACACGCTGACAGCGAGCTGCGCCGAGCAGTGTCCAGCTCAGATGTTCAGACGGGAATCTTTTCTTGAGCGATTTAGTGTTTCAATTTTTTTTAATGAAATCGATTAAAAATAAAGGCGCCCGGCCCGAGGGCCGTCGGGCCGGGCCGACCCGAGGGCATAGGGCTTCAGTGCAGGGCTCTACTTGGCAGGTTGTAGAACCATTTGGATGACTCTAATACTGTAGATGTCCGGTGTCCTCGTTGCGCGCACCACTCAACTCAGATGCTGCTACATCAGTTAGAGAGAAACTCAAAGGATGTTTTGATCTTTACTAACTGAATCCAATCCTAAAAGCTGTTTTCGTACCATCAGCAGGCTGCAAGGGTGAGGCTCATTTGAGCAGTCTGATGTTGGGATTGATCTTTCTTTAAATTGGTAAACCGGATAAATGTGTCCCCCCCCCCCATATTTACAGAACCTTTTTTTATCCAACAGAATGCAACTACAACTTATGCTCACTTCCAATCAGCTGTCCTCTGGGCTTCGAGCTGAGAATCAGTAATGGCACCTGCTGCTTGTCTTATGACTGTGGTACGTAATGTTATAAGTACAAACCCCAGAACACCTCAGGGGTTGGTTGAGACCATTAAAATGTTTGGTTTTTGACATGGATAAAAATACCATAAAACAAGTAATCTAATAACACTCTGGTGATAGTTAGACCAGGTTAACCCGAACCCACTTTTTTTCTTGTTTCCATTCTCTGCAGTTCCTAAAGGTGTGTGCGTCGTAGACATGACCGAGTTCAAGGTTAGTGAAGTCTGGAGAAGATAGGAGGAACTTAGCAATGAGATGAGCTGCATGTGTGTCAACAGGTTAAAAATGGCCACTTTTATGGTAGAATCATCGACCAAATAACGTATTATAACTGATGATGAGGCATCGTGAAAACGAAGCTAGTCATGAGTACACGACGGAGTGTCCACTAGAATAAACTCAGACCTTTCTGTTCTCTTAGTATGTTCATACTGTTGATGTGAGGTTTCAAACTGATTTTGTGTGTGTGTGTGTGTGTGTGTGTGTGTGTGTTTGCTCTGTCTTCTCAAACTCCAGTGAAATGACTCTTGTGATAAATACAAAATGGAAAAGAGCTTAATTGAAAATGTATTTCTTTACTAATTAACAAAATACTGGAAGGTAGCGTTTGTAAAAGTAATATTAATAATATATTGTTCTCCAGCCTGGAACAAAGATCCCACCATCAGCGGGTACTGTGTCTGTGGTGGAGTCGTGTAAGGAGTGCTACTGTAGCTCCCAGACGGATCCAAGCACCAAGCTGAACATCATCACCTGCTCCCCAGCTATCTGCAACACCAGCTGCTCTGATGTAAGCCCACCTAAACCACTACGTCTCTTATTTTCAGATCAAACGTTTCTTTGTTACTTTGCATTCGGGTCTGCTTCAGCACCAGGCGCCTCATTTATAAAGCTTTGTGTAGAATCGTCACTAAAGCTCTACTTTACTCATGTGAATTGATTTTCCCACGTACAAACACTCGTGTGTTTCTGGATCACATCCCGCCTCCCACACACCCATAAAGGGTCAATGCACACTACGAGTATTCTTCATAGACCGGCTGACTGGTGGCATTTCATGGGTAACCATGATAATGAGACTGAGGCCCTGTCCACACGTAGCCGGGGATCTGCCAAAACGTAGATATTTTTCTACGTTTTGGCCTGTCATCCACACGAAAACGGAGTTTTTTCACACGAAAACGGATCTTTTTAAAAACTCCGGCCAAAGTGAAGATCTGCGTTTTCTCCGTTTTGGGTGTCTGCGTGTGGACAGACAAAACCGGAGTTTTAAGGTCCGCAACGTCACTTTCCGCGACAAAAAAATGCTGACATCACGTGTGCGACCTGTGTTTACACTAGCCGACAGCATGGATGCCCTCAGAGCTGCGCTCGCTTTATCAATTGTCCAAGCGCTTTCTGCTTGTTTGTTTTTGCAAGCGGAATTACTGCTCCTTGTGGAAGACCACAGACGAAGGACGAGGTTAAGAACGGGGGAAGTACTGCCGCCTACAGGTCTGGCATGTCCTTAACAACGTATTTATCTGGGTACGTGTGGACAGAGTTTGTTTTTAAAACGAGGTGGTGTGGATGCAAGTTTTTGGAGGGGCGGATATTCGTTTTTAAAAAACCCGGCTACGTGTGGACTAGGCCTGAAATCAAGGTGCTTGTGAGTCACGTTAGAACCATGGGAAAACATTTAATTGCCTCGGAGGGGCACCGCATTGTTGCAGCGATTAGGATGTACATCGATTTTAAAAAAACTGTAATATTATGAATATATTTAAAAGTAGAGCAGCTGCTCATATTTCAAGTTGTATAATCCCTCATAATATGGATGTATTGAGTTATAGACATTCCTGTGACGAGGCAGGCATGCAGCGCCACAGCCGGCAAGCTCACTTTCCCTGCAGGGCAGCTCCGGTGCTGCAGGAGACCAAGAAGACCTGGTATTTTGTTGTCAATTTGCAAGTTTTCCTATTTTTATTAATGTAACTTTCACACTCGAGTGGCTCCGCGTTTTTGTCCGAGTTGCCACTGCGAACGGAGACTATTAGTGGCAAACTGGGACTCAATAGAGACCAGTGATTTGTTTCAGTGATGCCTGATGTGATCGGATCGGATCGGAGCATCCCCACCTGAAACCTGAGTTTTAAAAGTGTTTATAAAAAACAGGGTATCCGCGGGTCCTTAAAAAGTCTTAAAAAGTCTTACATTTGCTTTTCCAAATTTAAGACCTTAAAAATCCTTAAAAATGACAAATAATCCTTAAATACAGTTTCCAAAGGTCTTAAATTACCAAAGACGCAATAAACTAGATTCTTTTATTTCTATTAAAATTTTGCGAATTCCTAGTAAAGCATTTTTTGTGTACGATGTTGGCGTAAGCGGAACCGTACACATTCAGCTGGTTGTGAAAGGGGGCTATTTTTAGATGAGCACTTTAGCTGGTTAAGTTAGTGGGAGCTTGCGCCATGGGGAAGCACAAGTTTAATAGTAACTGGATGGCTAATCCCACCTTTGCAATGTGGTTAGCATCGGTTCCAGGCAATAGCTGGAAATTATAGCTTAAATTTAAATTTTAAAAATTGCTTAAATTTGGTGAAAGTGGCCTTAAAAAAGGTCTTAAAAAGTCTTACATTTGGTTCCCTTAAACCTGCAGATACCCTGAAAAAAGGACACAGATAGAAGCTCTCTGACCCAAGCCAGGACCTGCTGTTGCTCTGAATGTTTGTCGTTTACTTTCTAGGGTTTTGAATATCGCATGACTTCAGGTGATTGCTGTGGGAGATGTGTGCAGACGAACTGCATTTTCGTCACGCCTGACAACCAGACAACACTCATAATCCAGGTTGGTGATGTACTTTTAGGGCGTGTTAACTAATTACATAAAAATTCTTTTTCAATGTATTCCTACTGACTGTCTTGAGTTGAAAATGACAAGATATCTGTGCGTTGTGCAGGTGAACGGTTCGTACGTACCACCAGACAACAGCTGTGTGCGGTACACTTGTGAGAAGATTAATGGACAATTTTTACTGAAGGAAACCACGACCACCTGCCCCCTCTTCAACGCTATGGACTGTGAACCTGTGAGTGAATCCTGTCAATAAATATCAAATTAAGATGGTCATTAAAAATGCTTCAAACAAACACAAAAGTCTGTAGAAGTATTTGTTTGAATGCGGGTCCCTACTTGGTGTGGAACACTGTTGCAACACACTCTCACACCCAAAGCGTCAAAATACGACGCGTGTGACCAAGCCTCAATATGTGACGATTTGGGATGCCCCAGCGCGTCAGGAGACGACGATCAGGGACACGCTGGGTCACGTGGCTCCGCTGGCGTCAGTGTTTGACGCAGCGGTCACACGGACATTATTCGACTATTTAACCTTCCCCTCACCCCAATCCTAACCTTAAGGTCCATAAACTGTGACCTTAAGGTTAGGGTTGGGGTGAGGGGAAGGTTAAGTACTTCGCAAGTCGTTCTGATGTCCGTCTCACCACCGATACCGACGCTCTGGGACGGTGCGTCATCAGTGTGTCCCTGATCGTCGTCTCCTGACGCGCTGGGGCGTCCCGAATCGTCAGATTTTGACGCCTTGGGTGTGAGAATGTGTTGGGAACACAGCTAGCCAAAGTAAGCAAGTGGGTGGAAGCTAACTTTAAAGGCACTCATGGAAAAAATGTACATCTACAAAAGAGGAACTGAATGCAGGTAGACATGGTAGCAAGTGGGCGGGTCTAACTTTTTTATCTATGTATCTATCTTATTTATCTACAGGGAGTGCAGAATTATTAGGCAAGTTGTATTTTTGAGGAATAATGTTATTATTGAACAACAACCATGTTCTCAATGAACCCAAACAACTCATTAATATCAAAGCTGAATGTTTTTGGAAGTAGTTTTTAGTTTGTTTGTAGTTTTAGCTATTTTAGGGGGATATCTGTGTGTGCAGGTGAATATTACTGTGCATAATTATTGGGCAACTTAACAAAAAACAAATATATACCCATTTCAATTATTTATGTTTACCAGTGAAACCAATATAACATCTCCACATTCACAAATATACATTTCTGACATTCAAAACAATACAAAAACAAATCAGCAACCAATATAGCCACCTTTCTTTGCAAGGACACTCTAAAGCCTGCCATCCATGGATTCTGTCAGTGTTTTGATCTGTTCACCATCAACATTGCGTGCAGCAGCAACCACAGCCTCACAGACACTGTTCAGAGAGGTGTACTGTTTTCCCTCCTTGTAAATCTCACATTTGATGATGAACCACAGGTTCTCAATGGGGTTCAGATCAGGTGAACAAGGAGGCCATGTCATTAGTTTTTCTTCTTTTATACCCTTTCTTGCCAGCCACGCTGTGGAGTACTTGGACGCGTGTGATGGAGCATTGTCCTGCATGAAAATCATGTTTTTCTTGAAGGATGCAGACTTCTTCCTGTACCACTGCTTGAAGAAGGTGTCTTCCAGAAACTGGCAGTAGGACTGGGAGTTGAGCTTGACTCCATCCTCAACCCGAAAAGGCCCCACAAGCTCATCTTTGATGATACCAGCCCAAACCAGTACTCCACCTCCACCTTGCTGGCGTCTGAGTCGGACTGGAGCTCTCTGCCCTTTACCAGTCCAGCCACGGGCCCATCCATCTGGCCCATCAAGACTCACTCTCATTTAATCAGTCCATAAAACCTTAGAAAAATCAGTCTTGAGATATTTCTTGGCCCAGTCTTGACGTTTCAGCTTGTGTGTCTTGTTCAGTGGTGGTTGTCTTTCAGCCTTTCGTACCTTGGCCATGTCACTGAGTATTGCACACCTTGTGCTTTTGGGCACTCCAGTGATGCTGCAGCTCTGAAATACGGCCAAACTGGTGGCAAGTGGCATCTTGGCAGCTGCACGCTTGACTTTTCTCAGTTCATGGGCAGTTATTTTGCACCTTGGTTTGTCCACACGCTTCTTGCGACCCTGTTGACTATTTTGAATGAAACGCTTGATTGTTCGATGATCACGCTTCAGAAGCTTTCCAGTTTTAAGACTGCTGCATCCCTCTGCAAGATATCTCACTATTTTTGACCTTTCTGAGCCTGTCAAGTCCTTCTTGTGACCCATTTTGCCAAAGGAAAGGAAGTTGCCTAATAATTATGCACACCTGATATAGGGTGTTGATGTCATTAGACCACACCCCTTCTCATTACAGAGATGCACATCACCTAATATGCTCAATTAGTAGTAGGCTTTCGAGCCTATACAGCTTGGAGTCAGACAGCATGCATGAAGAGGATGATGTGGACAAAATACTCATTTACCTAATAATTCTACACTCCCTGTATGCTGCTTCAGCTATCAATTCCAGTAATCAGCATTCAAACCGCGTTTCTGCAGGAAATGCAATTTACCCTGTCAAGGCTGTTTTTCTTTTAAACAAATGTGTTTCTCTTTCAGGGAACCGAGACAATGGATGGGTGCTGCCAGACCTGTGAGTTTATAGTGCTGCTTGAAAAAATAACTTCAAAAATTCACGCGAAAACAAAAATATTATAATATTATCTACGATGCGTTCCAGGCAAGCTGAAGGATGTTTGTAAGGTCCAGAGTAATCTAGCTAAGCTTGAAGTGAACGGCTGCATCAGCACAGAGGTGGTCAACATAACATCTTGTGAAGGAAAATGCACAAGCTCATCCATGTAAGTATACGTGCAACAGTGGTGAGCCGGTAGAAAGCTGTCATTATACAGCACTGTTGGCTCTCAAAGCAACTTTAGTGAACTTTTACAAGTATTTATTTAATTAACATCTCTGGATGCTGGAATAAGTGTTGGATTCTTCTGCATAATCATTTATTCTTATGGTGTTTCAATAAAGTTATTTGGAATAGTGCCCCATTTCATAAGAATCCTCCAAAAAGTATTATTCCCATGTGAAGAAATTACTTTGAGCAGATAGACAATTTTATTTCTTTATGGAGTGCAGTTTGGGATTATTTGTTGGACCAAATATCATATGTAAATTAGCTGTAAAGGAAATGCTATATTTCTTTGTAAAAGTCGACAACATGCCAACATAACACATGTATGTAACCCCATATTCCAGTATAAGAGTAGCCCCGTAAGGACCACATCCGGGTAACATCCCTTCTTTAACCAATCACTGAAGAGCTTTTAATACATGCCCGTCTACTGGGTGGGCCCATATCCGGTATAAGAGGGGTGTAAACCCACCATTCGTCTCCCAAATGCTCTTTATGACAAGTCACCCACACTTTTACAGCAACTTTCAGAGTCGGAGAATTCCAAAGCAGTTCCTACCAAAACTAATGAGGCCCGCCGCCTTAAAGGGCTATGCCTATACTCATAGAGTTGGGGCGTACAATGTGTCACCTCCAACTCTATGAGTATAGGTATTGCCCTAAGGACCACATTTAGGTTAAAGGCAGAGGTGGATGTAGTCTGTGCCTCACTGGTTCAGATCAAACCATCAGAAACATCATCTCAGACTGGTTTCTTGGCGGGAAAACAGGTAAACAGAACTGCTCTGTGTTTTAAAAAAGAACTACAGCATGGAATCAGAAACATCTGTTTGACAAAAACCCAGATAAATCACTCCCCTCAGGTAGGACTGCTCTGCGGGCGGCAGAAGGAAAAGGAGCTGCCGAGGTGAGGGGGTCATGAAAGAAGATAAAAGGGTCACAGCAGGGGAACAGCTGGCACAAAATCCCCAGAGTTTATTTGAAAACAGCCCAGTAGGGAAAAACCAGGGTAACGAACAGCCCTCCACAGGGGGAGGGTGATAAGTGTATAGAAAAGAAGCCTGAGATGAAAACAATAGAAAGTAATGGAGGCTAACACCAAAAGCAATAAACCCCTCAGAGATGGTGATGGGTATGCGAGTCCGGCTAGCGTATTAACATGAAACACAGGCACTCGCAGTGGTAGAGAGATCCAGCGTGCTGTCGCACACTGCAGATGAAATCAGCTTGTTGGACTGGAGCTGTAGTGACGTATACTAAATAGAACTTCTGTGATTTGTTTAGACCAACAAATTGCATTAGTCAATTTAAATGTTGGTCACCTGAAAGATGATGAAAACCTTACCCCCAAATTCCACTACCTCCGCTCCGGTGCGGAGACCTGAGGTGGGCAAACAGGCATGCGCGGGATTTTCGAGATCTTGCGATACAGTCCGAGCAATAAACGCGGAAGTTAGATCCAAACACCCGTTGTGTGGGAGAAGCATCGGCATGAACTGTTTAATCTGCCCATCATGTGTGTTGAGAGATCAGCAGTGTTTGGGTCAACAAAGTGTGACTACTTTGATAGTAGAAACTGTATTTATGGCTTAATTTTGTGCATTTAAACTTCAGCCGCCATTGATAGTTGTTAAAAGTTGTTAAATCTGTGCATATGAAACAAAAAACACCTTTTGTTTATCGATTTATTGTCTTCGTCGTCTTCGTCTTCGTCTTCCTCCGCTTATCCGGGTCCGGGTCGCGGGGGCAGCATCCCAATTAGGGAGCTCCAGGCCGTCCTCTCCCCGGCTTTGTCCACCAGCTCCTCCGGCAGGACCCCAAGGCGTTCCCGGACCAGATTGGAGATGTAACCTCTCCAACGTGTCCTGGGTCGACCCGGGGGCCTTCTGCCGGCAGGACATGCCCGAAACACCTCCCCGGGGAGGCGTCCAGGAGGCATCGTGACCAGATGCCCAAACCACCTCAACTGGGTCCTTTCGATCCGGAGGAGCAGCGGTTCTACTCCGAGTCCCTCCCGAATGTCCGAGCTCCTCACCCTATCTCTAAGGCTGAGCCCGGCCACCCTACGGAGGAAACTCATTTCGGCCGCTTGTATCCGCGATCTCGTTCTTTCGGTCATTACCCAAAGCTCATGACCATAGGTGAGGATTGGGACGTAGATCGACCGGTAAATCGAGAGCCTGGCTTTCTGACTCAGCTCCCTCTTCCCCACGACAGATCGGCTCAGCGTCCGCATCACTGCAGACGCCGAACCAATCCGCCTGTCGATCTCCCGATCCCTCCTACCCTCACTCGTGAACAAGACCCCGAGATACTTAAACTCCTCCACTTGAGGTAGGACCTCTCCCCCGACCCGGAGGTGGCAAGCCACCCTTTTCCGGTCGAGAACCATGGTCTCAGATTTGGAGGTGCTGATCCTCATCCCAGCCGCTTCACATTCGGCCGCGAACCTACCCAGCAAGAGCTGAAGGTCAGAGCTGGATGAAGCTAGGAGGACCACATCATCCGCAAAAAGCAGAGACGAGATTCTCCTGCCACCAAACTCGACACACTCCACACCACGGCTGCGTCTAGAAATTCTGTCCATAAAAGTGATGAACAGAACCGGTGACAAAGGGCAGCCCTGGCGGAGTCCAACCCTCACTGGAAACAGGTCCGACTTACTACCGGCTATGCGGACCAGACTCACGCTCCTCTGGTAAAGGGACTGAATGGCCCTTAACAGAAAGCCACCCACCCCATACTCCTGGAGCTTCCCCCACAGGGTGCCCCTGGGGACACGGTCATAAGCCTTCTCCAAATCCACAAAGCACATGTGGATTGGTTGGGCAAACTCCCATGCCCCCTCCATCACCCTTGCAAGGGTATAGAGCTGGTCCACAGTTCCATGGCCAGGACAAAAACCACATTGCTCCTCCTCTATCTGAGATTCAACTATCGATCGGACCCTCCTCTCCAGTACCTTGGCGTAGACCTTTCCAGGGAGGCTGAGGAGTGTGATCCCCCTATAGTTGGAACACACCCTCAGGTCACCCTTCTTAAAGATGGGGACCACCATCCCGGTCTGCCACTCCCTAGGAACTGCCCCCGATGACCACGCAATGTTGTAGAGACGTGTCAACCATGACAGCCCTACACCATCCATAGCCTTGAGATACCCAGGACGAACCTCATCCGCCCCCGGGGCTCCGCCGCTGTGTAGTTGTTTGACTACCTCAGCAACTTCTGCCCCCGAGATCGGACAGTCCATCCCCAGGCCTCCCAGCTCTGGTTCCTCCTCGGAATGCGCATTGGTGGGATTGAGGAGCTCCTCAAAGTATTCCTTCCACCGTCCGACTATAGCCTCAGTTGACGTCAGCAGCTCCCCATCCCCACTGTAAACAGTGTGAGCGAGTTGCTGCCTTCCTCTCCTGAGGCGCCGGACAGTTTGCCAGAACCTCTTTGGAGCCGATCGATAGTCTTTCTCCATGGCCTCACCAAACTTCTCCCACGCCCGAGATTTTGCCTCGGCAACTGCCACTGCTGCACCCCGCTTGGCTATCCGGTACCTGTCTGCTGCCTCCGGAGACCCACAGACCAGCCACGCCCTGTAGGCCTCCTTCTTCAGCCTGACGGCTCCCCGAACCTCTGGTGTCCACCAGCGGGTACGGGGGTTGCCACCACGACTGGCCACGGCCACCTTACGACCACAGCTAGCAACAGCCGCCTCGACAATCGCAGAGTGGAACAAGGCCCACTCGGACTCAATGTCCCCCACTGCTCTCGGGACGTGGTCAAAGCTCTGCCGGAGGTGGGAGTTGAAGACCGTCTTGACAGGTTCTTCTGCCAGGCGTTCCCAGCAGACCCTCACTATGCGTTTGGGTCTGCCAGGTCTACGCGGCATGTTCCCTTGCCATCTGATCCAACTCACCACCAGGTGGTGATCAGTTGACAGCTCCGCCCCTCTCTTCACTCGGGTGTCCAAAACATACGGCCGCAGGTCAGATGATACGACTACAAAATCTATCATCGACCTGTGACCTAGGCTGCCCTGGTACCAAGTGTACCGGTGGGCATCCTTATGTTCGAACATGGTGTTCGTTATGGCCAAACTGCGGCTTGCACAGAAGTCCAATAACAAAACACCGCTCGAGTTCAGATTAGGTGGGCCGTTCCTCCCAATCACACCCCTCCAGGTCAAGCTGTCATTGCCCACGTGAGCATTGAAGTCCCCCAGCAGGACAATGGAGTCCCCTGATGGAGCACTATCTAGCACTCGTCCCAGGGACTCCAAAAAGGGTGGGTACTCTGAACTGATATTTGGCCCATAAGCACAAACAACAGTCAGGACCCGTTCCCCGACCCGAAGGCGCAAGGAAGCTACCCTCTTGTCCCCCGGGGTAAACCCCAACACACAGGCAGAGAGTCTCGGGGCTAACAAAAAGCCAACCCCAGCCCTCCGCCTCTCACCCGGAGCAACTCCAGCAAAGTAGAGTGTCCAACCCCTCTCCAGGTCTCGGGTTCCAGAGCCAATGCAATGTGTCGAGGTGAGTCCGACTATATCTAGCCGGTACCGCTCAACCTCTGCCACAAGCTCCGGCTCCTTCCCCGCCAGCGAGGTGACGTTCCATGTCCCAAAAACTAGTTTTCTTGTCCGGGGATTGGACCGCCAAGGCTCCCGCCTTGGTCTGCCACCCGATTCGCATTGCACCGGACCCTTCATGTTCCTCCTGCGGGTGGTGGGTCCACAGTTGGACGAGCCCATGTATCCGGTTCGGGCTGGGCCCGGCCGGGCCCCATGGGCGAAAGCCCTGCCACCAGGCGCTCGCTCACGGGCCCCAACCCCAGGCCTGGCTCCAGGGTGGGACCCCGGTAACCCTCCGGGCCGGGTACTCCGACTCTTCGTTTTAACCGCCATGAAAGATCCTTCGATTTATTGTGAAATACGGAAATTGTGCTTGCTCCTTTTCCTGTTGGGCCGTTGTGATTTCTGTCCATTTACTGCGGAGGTGCTCCGGCGTCCGGCGAAAATAGGATCGATTCTATTTTTGCCGGACGCCGGAACAGAGGGCGGCGCACGGCGCCGCACGGCGCCGCACTGCCGGAGCATGGCCGCAGTAGTGGAATTGCTCTGATTGACTAGAACGGGACCGATTTTGCTCCGGCGTTCGTGTCGGAGCGGAGCGGAGCGGAGGTAGTGGAATTTGGGGGTTACATTTTCATTCATCTCTAAACTCCCCTTCCCGGATGCCCCAGACCGGATGTAAAAAAGGGACATGTCTGGGGAAAGAGGCCACCTTAACTTATATCCGCCGCTATGTTAGCTGCTAGCCACTAACGAGTTAGTTCAGCAACACCAAACTCGTAAAATTCAGAACATTAAGGAAAGGTAAAAATGTCTGAGGATCGTGTAATTGTAAAGCAAGTTCATTAGAGAATCTCTTCTCTCTGTGTAGATATTCTCCAGTAGCTACTACGATGATGCATCACTGTGAGTGTTGCCTGGAGGCTACAACCAGTCTGAAGCAAGTGGAGCTGACCTGCACAGACGGCTCCAAGCGGCACCACAACTACATCCATGTAGAAAGTTGCCTCTGCAGCAGAGAGGAATGTTCAGCCAGCAGTAGCAGGCCCTGAGCTGTCTATTACAGTCTCACAGCTTTCTCACTGCTTTATGTCACATTAATTACTTTAATAACCTCCTTCTGAATTTCTTCATGATGACAAATAAAATTTATCTGCAAAATAAACTTTGTATGAACATTTTTTCTATCGTAAAAAAGAATAACTTCAGACAGCAGAAGGACAATATGCTAGTGCACTTAGCTTAGCTTAGGCCAAACACACCAGGAGAAACACGAGGACGTTTTTTTTTCTATTGTTGATAGTAGAGTAGCTATGCATTGGCTTAGGGCTAAAAATAGCAACATGGAGCAACAAGGCAGTCTCTAATGATGTTTGATGGAGGGTTTCAGCTGTGAAAATGATTTTTAGGTCAAAATAATCCAAAATCTCAGTTTACTAAACTGTGGACACAGATTCAAAATCGGTGCCGTGGAATGTTGTGACAGCTGTTTCCACTATATTGTTCTTTTTGTAGTAGAGTGGAAAGTGCTCATGTTGGATCGCACAAAAATGGTGTCAACAAGCTGACAGCCTACTATAATAAAGAGCAAGTCACCTCCAAATCAACTTTTTTTCCTGATAAACTATATAAATGCGTGTCTAATCGTGCTGCAGCATAGCATAGCATAGTTTATTTAAATAGCACGTTTAAAATGCAGCATGGGAGCTGCCCAAAGTGCTGCACAGGCTAAAACAAAACACAACCATTACAAGGAGCTAAAACAAAGGATAAAAATCTCAATCAAAGGCAGATAAACCATGATGAATACTGATAGGTAATTGATTTTATCCCATATTACCTTAAAGGACGACACATAGAGAGAGAGAGAGATTATTTGTAATGTTCATGAATCGTCATGCGAGAGCTGGGCGGAAACCCAGCTCCCACTCTGCTCCAGCCTTCAGCTCACCAGCTCTGCATACCCGCATTCTCCACCAAAATGATGGGTAATATTTAATCTCCATAACCCTGGAACTTGAAATAAACACTTGACAACAAGGGCGACATTTTACCCTGAGTCCCCAAAATATGGAGAGTTAACGCAGAGGAACCTCCTCCGAGGCTTCCCCACGTCACTCCCCTGTATTCTCAGTTAGCCAGGGGTTTTATTTAGCAAAGGATGGAGAAGGCGGGGCCTTCTCAGGTTACAGAGGTACAGAGGTTTGGTTGGAATCAACATCCTTACAGAGGTTTGGTTGCAGTGTTGCCAGATGTACGATAATTATCGTATTTGTACCATAATTTTGGGCTCTGTACGATGTACGATCAATAGTTTCAAAAATCCTCAAATGTACGATAATTTCACATTGCATCTAGTAACACCGTCTTTTGCTGTGGCTTTCCCAAGTCAGTTACATAATTTTAAACTGTTCTGAAGTCAGATTTCACCTCAGTGCTTACAGGTTTATGCTATTGTGTCTATTACAAAAACTGACTCTGGGTCTGTACAATAAATAGCCCAATCACATCGATAGGGCCTACTCTTGCGAGAAACTGTAAGGTTATATAATGTGGCCAATTCCTCACTCCAATATATATTGGAGTGAGAAGTCGTTTATAGAACGTTGTTATCAAATTTATAATGTACGATAATTCGTACTGAAAAACGATAATTTAGGCCTCTCTGTACGATATTGTGGGATTTTGGATCTGGCAACACTGTTTGGTTGGAATCAACATCCTTGACTGCAAACGAGCTTCTCTGCTCAACCTTTCATGAACAGCCACAGTTGGCAAACACAGAGATTCATGAAGTGTTAACAACAAAAATTGGGCATCTTTTAGGCCTCAAAAAGGTACAATTATAAAAATACCTAACAAATACTAAGAGCACATTAAAACAATGATACAATGAAACACTAAAACGAGTCACTGTCTAAAAGCCAAAGTGTAAAAGTGGGTCTTTAAACGAGATTTAAAAACCGCCAGAGATGGAGCCTGCCGAACTCCAATGGGCAATGAGTTCCGTAGCTTTGGGGCAGCATGCACAAATGCTCAATCCCCCCGCGATTTGAGTCTCATCTGCGGCGTGTACAGCAGCAAAACGTCAGCCGACCTCAACGTGTGGGTGGGCACATATGGAGTGAGAAGGGCAGAGAGGTAGGGAGGTGCCAGGTCATTGAGTGCTTTAAAAACAAAAGTCAGTAACTTAAACTGCACTCTGAAAATGACAGGGAGCCAGTGAAGATGTTCCAGGACAGGGGTAATGTGGCTACGTCGGTGTGTACCCGTCAAGAACCTGGCAGCAGCGTTCTGAACAACCTGCAGCCGATTCAGGGCAGAGTCCAGAACACCAATGAGGAGGGCGTTTGCATAGTCCAGGCGAGAGGTAATGAAGGCATGAATGATGGACTCCAAACTGCAGACACGTGTAGTCAATAGTTTAGCACTTTAGTGCATTTTAGTTAAAATTTGAGTGTTCTGCCTAAAACTGTCAGTGTTGTGCCGTTGTCTGGTAAAAACTCTGCACTGCATTTGAATTTAAATCTGCCATAGCTATTGGCTAAGAGGTACCCTAGAACATTAGCTGGTACCATATGATGTCACAATGTCGTTGCAAGCCTGTGTGTGTGTATTTATTAGCGGCTCCGCCTTCTCGGTCTGCTAGGCAACAGCATTTGTTGCATTTTTCAAACAGGAAGTGGGAGTGGAGTAATACTCTGGTAGGGGGTGACTTGCTCTTGAAGGAATAACAAGAGAATGATCTTGTCTGCTCCATTCAGAGACTTTAACGCTCATCCTGTTGACATACTGTTGTAATGGAATGAAATGACTGTTTTCCACCTAAAAGTCATTTCCCCCTCTCCTCAGCAAGAACTACTCTGCATGAGATATTGCCTCACGGTCTCATGCATCTGCTTCTAAACTGTTTTCCTTTCCAGCTCAAGAGAAGAATGAAGACAAAGGACTCTTTCTTTTTAACTCATTCACTGCCATTGACGACTAAAGTCGTCATTTTAGATCCAACCGTTCACTGCCAATGACGACTAAAGTCGTCATTTGCATTTTTTTACTGTTTGAGCATTGGAACGAGTCCCCGCGCTGATAGAACAAGCATCTCAGCCCTGAAGCCGATCTTCATCCGCATACGTCACAGATCACATGATCAGGAAGCAGACCATCCATGTGTTTGGAGATCGTTTTGGGCCGTTCCTGTAAAAAAAAGTGAGGCGCGAACCGGAGAAGCATCTGCCGATCACAATTCAACAACGGATTATGAAAGAACGGATAACGCTCGAAACACGCGGCTTCTTCCTGATGTAAGAGGTGAGTCTCCTCTTTGTTTTGGTTGTTTTGGCATCGACATCATGCTAGCGCGCAACGTTCTGTGACTCTTAAAAAAACAGTAAAAACGGTGAGAAACGCTGGCAGCGAAGGCAGTTAGCGATCTGGAAACGGCTGGCAGTGAATGAGTTAATAAATCAAAGAACTCTATTTTTAATAAGCTAATCAAACAAAGTGTTAGTCAGTAATAAGATGTGAATCGATTTGTGAAAGGAAAATGTTAATTACTTGATATTATAATCCTATAGAATATAATAAGTAATATAACTTTAAATGTTTCCACTAGAGACGGATCACACATAAGGTTAAATCACATGACACATTGCTTTTACTGATCGAATCAGAATCTGCCAGATCCGACGGAGGCGTGGTTTTGGTGAGGCTTGGTAAATCTGTCGTATTTTCATTCGACCATTAACCAAAACATCCGAAGTATAAAACTACGCCCACGTCATCTTTAACGCAAGTTCAAAGCGTTCTAGAGAAGTTGTCGGAGTGGCCAATCCGTAACTTTCCTCTTCAGCCGAAAGACCCAAGACAAGCTGGATAAAATCTGTTGCTGTTCCACCTGCTGCAACGGTTCCTTTCAGAATAAAAGCTGAACCATCACGACCCCGTTTTGGGTCTTGCTAGATGCCAACAAAACTGTCGTGAGTGACCCGGAAGTATCTCAAGACTGGTCTCGTCGGCAGCCGCTGCTTTTCCTACCGGCTTCGGTTCCAGAGAGGGTCAAGCTGGACCTCGACATTCCTGATCTAATGGCAAATTCCAAAAGGGTACGTAGGCCGGCAGAATGGCGTCTCAATGTGTGTTATAAATCTCCGAATCAAAGCTTAGCGCAACGACATCACCTTCACTCCCATCAGAACTAATCGTTTCTCCGGATTTGCTGGTTCTGCAATATTCACACATACACCATCCTCAGTCTTACTTCGCCTTAGTTACACCATACACCTAGAGTTTAAAGTTAGTCTAGTTTTAATTTGTTTAGTAATAAATCTTTAAACTTTCAAACCTGACTCTCTCTCTTTTCTTGAAGTTAATACGAAGTGTTGCTCAATCCCTGCAATAAAAAGATCCGATCTTCTGATTAAATTTACTTAAAGATCCATCATGGTGATATTCATATTTCGTGATATTTCACATTTTATGGTTTCTAATTAAATGTAGGAACATCTTCACTATACTGTTATTATGCTGTTTCTGATAGCCTCGCTGCTAGTTTTATTTGCTGGAGACAAAATTCACTTTAAAACAGTTTGCTACTTTTTCTAGTAAAATATGCTAAAATAAAATGGATTCTATAAAACTGATCTAATAAAATATGAGAAGAATTTTAATCCCTAAAATATCCATAACTCTATAAATCTATAAAGTGATTTTCATTCTACCAAGAAGTAGAAAGTAGCTTAAAAGGCTTTTATTTGTATAAACAAAATAACACGTAGATAATTATTCATACACTTCTCAATAATTAGTTATTTCAAGTTGTGAGTTTAAAAGCAAAATAAGTAAACTGTACAGTAAAAATGGATTAAAACAACAGACTACAAATTAAAAAAAAGAGTGTTTAATGGAAAAAGTATATAAATCATCTGCATATAAATCTATTATAGGTGGTTAGAGCTGTTGCCTTGCAGCGAGAAGGTCCTGGGTTCGCCTCCCGGCCTGGGATCTTTCTGCATGGAGTTTGCATGTTCTCCCTGTGCACGCGTGGGTTCTCTCCGGGTACTCCGGCTTCCTCCCACAGTCCAAAAACATGACTGTTAGGTTGACTGGTCTGTCTAAATTGTCCCTAGGTGTGTGTGTACGATTGTTTGTCCTGTGTGTCTCTGTGTT